TCTCCAGATTTCTCTTGATTAGCCATTTTGATGAGCAGTGACATTTTTCAGGATTCAGTATTTATCCTTTTCTACATCTGCACATACTGGGTACAACACTTCCTCTGATTTTAGTTTTCACTCTCTGCTCCTGATCTTTTTTTTTTTAATTTTTTATTGTTGGCTGTTCAAAACATTACATAGTTCTTGATATATCATATTTCACAATTTGATTCAAGTGGGTTATGAGCTCCCATTTTTACCCCATATACAGATTGCAGAATCACATCAGTTACACATCCATTGATTTACATATTGCCATACTAGTGTCTGTTGTGTTCTGCTGCCTTTCCTATCCTCTACTATCCCCCCTCCCCTCCCCTCCCCTCCCCTCCCCTCCCCTCTTCTCTCTCTGCTCCCTCTACTGACATTCGTTTGTCCCCCTTATATTATTTTTCCCCTTCCCCTCACTTCCTCTTGTATGTACTTTTGTATAACTCTGAGGGTCTCCTTCCATTTCCATGCATTTTCCCTTCTCTCTCCCTTTCCCTCCCACCTCTCATCCCTGTTTAATGTTAATCTTCTTCTCATGCTCTTCGACCCTACTCTGTTCTTAGTTACTCTCCTTATATCAAAGAAGACATTTGGCATTTGTTTTTTAGGGATTGGCTAGCTTCACTTAGCATAATCTGCTCTAATGCCATCCATTTCCCTGTAACTTCTATGATTTTGTCATTTTTTAATGCAGAGTAATACTCCATTGTGTATAAATGCCACATTTTTTTTATCCATTCATCCATTGAAGGGCATCTAGGTTGGTTCCACAGTCTAGCTATTGTGAATTGTGCTGCTATGAACATCGATGTAGCAGTGTCCCTGTAGCATGCTCTTTTTAGGTCTTTAGGGAATAGACCAAGAAGGGGAATAGCTGGGTCAAATGGTGGCTCCATTCCCAGCTTTCCAAGAAATCTCCATACTGCTTTCCAAATTGGCTGCACCAATTTGCAGTCCCACCAGCAATGTACAAGTGTACCCTTTTCCCCACATCCTCGCCAGCACTTGTTGTTGTTTGACTTCATAATGGCTGCCAATCTAACTGGAGTGAGATGGTATCTTAGGGTGGTTTTGATTTGCATTTCTCTGACTGCTAGAGATGGTGAGCATTTTTTCATGTACTTGTTGATTGATTGTATGTCCTCCTCTGAGAAGTGTCTGTTCAGGTCCTTGGCCCATTTGTTGATTGGGTTATTTGTTCTCTTATTGTCTAATTTTTTGAGTTCTTTGTATACTCTGGATATTAGGGCTCTATCTGAAGTGTGAGGAGTAAAGATTTGTTCCCAGGATGTAGGCTCTCTATTTACCTCTCTTATTGTATCTTTTGCTGAGAAAAAACTTTTTAGTTTGAGTAAGTCCCATTTGTTGATTCTAGTTATTAACTTTTGTGCTATGGGTGTCCTATTGAGAAAATTGTGCACCATGATCAAGTAGGATTCATCCCTGGGATGCAAGGCTGGTTCAATATACGGAAATCAATAAATGTTATTCACCACATCAATAGACTTAAAAATAAGAACCACATGATCATCTCGATAGATGCGGAAAAAGCATTCGACAAAGTACAGCATCCCTTTATGTTCAAAACTCTAGAAAAACTAGGGATAACAGGAACATACCTCAATATTGTAAAAGCAATCTATGCTAAGCCTCAGGCTAGCATCATTCTCAATGGAGAAAAATTGAAGGCATTCCCTCTAAAATCTGGAACAAGACAGGGATGCCCTCTCTCACCACTTCTGTTCAACATAGTTCTCGAAACACTGGCCAGAGCAATTAGACAGACGAATGAAATTAAAGGCATCAAAATAGGAAAAGAAGAACTTAAATTATCACTATTTGCAGATGACATGATTCTATACCTAGCAGACCCAAAAGGGTCTACAAAGAAACTATTAGAGCTAATAAATGAATTCAGCAAAGTGGCAGGATATAAAATCAACACGCATAAATCAAAGGCATTCCTGTATATCAGCGACAAATCCTCTGAAATGGAAATGAGGACAACCACTCCATTCACAATATCTTCAAAAAAAATAAAATACTTGGGAATCAACCTGACAAAAGAGGTGAAAGACTTATACAATGAAAACTACAGAACCCTAAAGAGAGAAATAGAAGAAGATCTTAGAAGATGGAAAAATATACCCTGTTCATGGATAGGCAGAACTAACATCATCAAAATGGCGATATTACCAAAACTTCTCTATAGGTTTAATGCAATGCCAATCAAAATCCCAACGGCATTTCTTGTAGAAATAGAGAAAGCAATCATGAAATTCATATGGAAAAACAAAAGACCCAGAATAGCAAAAACAATGCTAAGCAGGAAGTGTGAATCAGGCGGTATAGCGATACCAGACTTCAAACTATACTACAGAGCAATAGTAACAAAAACAGCATGGTACTGGTACCAAAACAGGCGGGTGGACCAATGGTACAGAATAGAGGACACAGAAACCAATCCACAAAACTACAACTACCTTATATTTGATAAAGGGGCTAAAAGCATGCAATGGAGGAAGGATAGCATCTTCAACAAATGGTGCTGGGAAAACTGGAAATCCATATGCAACAAAATGAAACTGAATCCCTTTCTCTCGCCATGCACAAAAGTGAATTCAAAATGGATCAAGGAGCTTGATATCAAATCAGAGACACGCCGTCTGATAGAAGAAAAAGTTGGCTACGATCTACATACTGTGGGGTCGGGCTCCAAATGCTCCTGATCTTTTATTCTCTTATGAAACAAGAGCCATTACATGAGCTTTTTACTAATAAAGGATGGAATCCAAAGTTTCAGTATCCAAGATATATATTGTGAAAGAAAACACTCCAAAGTTTTTCATTTGTCTCTCAGATCTCTTTCTTGAGTTTGAAATTCTGCTTCCTGGCCGTAGTCATTTAGTTGTTTCTTAGGCACTGAATATGTTAAATGCTGCTCTATCTCCTTCTCTTACCACTGTAGATACTTTCTCTTTTTGTCTCTTGACTCCTTATTCTCCTTCAGTCTCTCCCTCCAATCAGTCACAATGCTAGCTTTCTCAATGTGTCTCCCTCCCTCCATTGCTCTGATTAGGGGCACTGCCTTCTTATCCTCATTACCCTGACAGCCTCCAGTGGTCTCTGCATCACCTCCAGTCTTATTCCCTCCAATTCACTTGTTACCTTCCGCAATGGGAGTAATGTCTCTAAACAGAACCTTTCTTTCTCTCTCCTGATTAAGCCTTTTCAGTGGTTTACTGTTACTCTAAGGAAAAACTCAAGTCTTGTAAAGACTTATCTTGTAAAGACATTATCTGGCTTGCTTAACTTTTTAAGTTTATTAAGTCCTTTTCTTGACTTAAACACACAATTTAGCCATGCTGAATTTATATCCGTTCCTTGTCTGAGCAGGATACCTGATGGCCGTCCAATCTGTATTTTCTCTAGTCTAAAGTACTATGGATCTTTTATTCATCTAACCCACTCTTAATTATTCCTCTGCCATTAGTTCTGCTATTTACCCTGATTAGTCAGAAGTGGCTTGGGTATCTGCCATCCAGTACCACCCTGTACCTCACCTATCTTAGTGTTTCTTCCTTAGGGTTTGGAGGGAGTTGGACTTCCCCCCAAAAGTGAAATAGCAAGAAAGAAGGAATGGATCCTCCTAGCCCACTGTATCTCTAGTATTCTCTATACTAGGAGGAGATTAATAAATATTTTAATTAGTATTGAAAATAGCTGGACTTTAATCAGTCATTATTGAGTAAGTTCATGACTTTCAAATCCATGTCTCCAGCCTGGGATGACATTTTCAAATGTCTGATGAGCCTATCTACCTGGTTAATCAATATGCAAACCAACCCATTAATTTCTGTTACACACCTGCTCTTCCTCCTTACTTCTCTCTCTTTTTCAGATTAGCTAAAACTATTGAGGTCATTTTATGGCTTTTTATAGCTTTTTAAAAAATGAAATCTAAATGTCTTTGTCTCTAAAGCATATTCTGTAGAAAATATTGCTAGGAAATTGAGTATTTCATTACTTGATTTTTTTATGGATAACCTGAAAAAGGGAATAATCATTATTGATAGGAATTTTTAGTCTGAGATAGTTTCTTCCTGTCTCCATCATCTATATCAAGATGTCATTAGCAGTATGCAATAGGGAAAATAGTCCTTAAAAATTCTAAACCAAATATCACTACATAATGCCATTAGGTGAATTTTCACCACATAAAGCATATGAGATTTTCCATAAATAGGATTTATTTTTGTAGTTCCCATAGGCTTAAACATATGTGTGATTATTAAATTCATATCCTTCAGAATGATACAGCTCAACAGAATCTGTTATAAAAATTAGGATAATAAAACAAATCAATTTTTCCTCATAGGTATAACTAAATGCAATTAGTCAGAGCTGACTTTTTACATAACTCACATAATTATGATATTCAGATATTGTAGTTAGACATACCATATATGTCTGTTTTTCTTACAAGCTTCTGTGAGCCAACTATGTTTTTTGTATCTTCTATGGTTAAACCCCCAAAGTATTTCTTCTATTCATGCCTTAAGGTAGTTACTTATAAATTTAAACAGATTAAATTCAAAATTTAAAAGTAGGGGAATGCTGGAAATGTAGAGTCCTTATGAAACTAGAAAACTTTATTCTACAGAGATTACCCAAATTTCCACAACTAATGATAACAGAGTTGGAATTGTATGCACCAGAATTTTTACAAAGGATAACATTGTTATCTATGTTTTGGAAACTTATTAAATAGTTTTTTCCTAGCTGAAGAAGACATAAAAGAAGAAGTTTTTTTTTATTGTTGTTGTTGTTGTTGTTGTTTTAAATCTGGTTTGTCTGTAAGCTGTTTAATATTTCCAATGTTTATTTTATCCCTTGCCTGATATGTACACATATTCATTCTGTATTTATACTACATAATTAATGAACATTGTTTGCCATACTTGCAGTGTAAATGAATCTGAGCCTTCTTTTGAAGCAACCAGAAGGTATTATTTCTATTTTAACCTGAGTTTAATAAGAATAACTTCCTTCCTTGGTCTTTACTTTAATCCCTTACTCCTCGGCATTGTTCATTCTGATGACATACAGTTCTTTTAATGTGCCAGCATATTTGCAACAGCAGTGGTTCCCAACCTTACAGGCTGCTAAAAGAATTCACTGATGAAACAAAATGGCTCCTTGTGGCCTTGTTTTCATCTCAGTGAGCCACATGATGTCCACTTTGGCTAAAACTAAAACTGTCCTTGTTAAATTAGGTTTGAGAGTTCATAAAATAAAAATGTGGGAATTAATGCATATGTTGACTGTGGGAGTCAAACAATGATAAGGTCTGCCTAAAAGTAGAGATGTTGAGCAAGTGCTGTATCTACTTAAAAAACAAACTAAAAAAGCCCCAGGAAGCTCGGGGCTGAGCTCAGTGCTGAAGTACATGCATAGCGTGCTTGAGACCCTGGGTTTAATCTCCATCCAGGAAAAAAACAAAATAAAACAAAAACTAAAACATACCTTGAAGACCATGGGAAAGGGTGGCTGACATGTAGAGTTTGGGAACCGCTGTTTCACTGTATATATAATCGTCTGAAAGACGGCTAGCATACCATGCATTATCATGTCTTCTAATCCTAAAATGGTCCATGATGATCACTGAGCATTTGTAATGTCTCTTTTTTAACCTTACTCTCCTTTAACTTTAATTCCTTCATTAGTACTTACAGATCATGAACTAACTGTGGAAGTCTGACTTGTAAGCTGATCTGATCCCTTCCCCAACGCGTCCCACCATCCTCTTTATCTTTAGCTCATATGTATTTTCCTAAGTATTGCAAATTAAAGTCTGATGTATAGACATCTGGTACAATTTTCAAGCAAAAAAATGGAAAGGAGAGGAGGAAGTTATTTTTTTAAATAAACTATTTCAATATGTTTTGAAATGTGTACTTTTAAAATGTATAATTTCAATACTGAAATGGGCTCTTCAATCTATTATTCAATCTATATATAATCTATTACCTTAAAATATGTTAGTGTAATTAAGCAGCAAATACATACTATAATTATAACATTAATTAATGCCTTTTTAAAGGTCTACATATAAAATTCACAGTTCTATAAAGTACTTCTAATGTAAATTAAAATATCTGTGGCTTTTGGAGAGTGAATTGCTATTAATCTTTTAATTATTTAAAAATTATAAACATTTTAGAAAAGACAATTTCAATTAGTAGTTCATTCCTTAAAACACTTCATCAGCATAGTACAGTCAATTTTTATACATTAGATGATAATTTGGTTAAATTATAATCCCTTTAATTTAAGTGGCTTATTTAATCATATCTTCATAAGATTGGTGGTCTTTGAAATTTTTTCTTTTAAAATTTTCCCATTTCTGGGTCTGAGATGTTTTGTCAACTATTCTTTTTCTTAGTTATGCTAAAATCTTTGCACCTTGCATAATTTCAGTGTTTTATTTTTCTTTTCCATTTTCCAGTAGGAACAGGTATTCTGTAGCTTATGCAGCACAAAAGCCTTGGTTATTAAATGCTACAGTAGAAGAAAATATTACCTTTGGAAGTCCTTTCAACAAACAGAGGTAATTTTGCATGTGTACAATTTAGAACTGAAAGAACAATTATCTCTAATCCATGCCTTTGATCCATGGTTTCTAGAACCTTCTTGTTTGGGACTGCTTGCCCCACTTCCATTCCCACCAAAGTCTTTTGAATCAGTTCTTTTAAGAACATCCTCTTTGGAAGTTCCAACCTATCCTAGAACCTGATCAAGAACAGTTAATACACCAAGATTAAATAAAGATATTAAGTGTGTGTCGGATAGGGGACTTGCTTAGGTTATGGAAGCAAATAACAGTGAAGGGAAAATCCCAGTAAGGTGCAGAAGGGGAGTTAACGGTGGACAGAAGGGTTTGGGATGAGAATCTAGTGACAGGAGCAGCCAGAATATTCTATCTCTCAAACATATTCCCTGGAACATATGACCCTTTACTGAGCCACCTTCAGAGGTGAAGGTGGGTGGGTCTGAAGATGAGGGGAGAGAAGGAGAAAGACAATGGAAGAACAAATTTCATGGGTCTTTTGGGGGCTTGGGAATAAGGCAGACAGGTGGGGATTCTGAAGGCTGAGTTTTGCTCCTGGAGGACATAAAAGCTAAGTGGCTATCATTGTGTGTATTCTGGGGAGATTCTGTAAGCTTTAGGTAGGGGATTAGCAAGGTGAATATGATGTTTAATCTGGAAGCAAAACATGACAGAGTGGCTATCCATATAAATAGATGCAGACAGATTTATTCTGAACTGGAAGCAAGGAAACACTTCGAAATTAGTGGGAATAATCACCCAGGCATGCAGCGTGTCACCTGAATTTAGGGGTGACAAAAGAAATGTGAAAGAATGGATGGTTGAGAAAAAACATTCTAGAGTAAGAATAGACAAACACGAGGAGGCATGGAAGATGAAATAACCAAGAATGACCTGAATATTTTAAGACTCGGGGCTAAGAAAACAAAACGATCCATGTTTCCCCAACCATCTCCAACTCCCAGACTCTCCTACACTTCCAACTCATCCGCTTCCCTATTGCAGCCTCAGATCAGCTTGAGTGCTATCTATCAATCCTCCTTGCTTTCTACTTCTGCTCCCTTCAGTGTACATGACAAACGCATGGACACCCACTTGCAGCCTCAGCTCTAGCCACAGTGACCCTCCTGTTGTCCCTTGTGTGCATTCGTAACCTTTTTACCTTATGAAATCCCTTGTTCTTCCTTTACCACATTGTCTTCCTGGAGGATTACTGCTTACCTTACTGGATATTGTTTAAGTATTACTTCCTGTATCTTCTAAAAACGTTTAGTCATTTCTTCCTTATATTCTAGGAGTGATAAGGACCCACCTCCACTAATTGTACTTCACAAGGCACCTTTTATTAAGTTTTTGTATCAGTCTTCAGCTCTGTACTCTAGCTTTGAACGTTTTTTTTTTTAATTGACAGAGTTATATGTGCTCGTTGTGTACAACATGAAATCTCAAAATATGTACATGTTGTGGGATGACTAAATCTAACTATTTAACATATGCATTAACTCCATTGCTATTATTTTTGTGATGAGAAGAATGGGAACCTATGCCTTATTTATCTTTGTATCCACAAACCGTGCCTAGAGGCTAGTATACATTAAATTGATCAGTAAATGGTTTATTATGGCTTTTACATTATTGAACCTGAGAGTTTGTTTATGGGCAGTGTATTAAAAGTGGTTAAAAATTAAAAACCATTTCCCCCAAAGGTACAAAGCTGTCACGGATGCCTGTTCTCTTCAGCCGGATATTGACTTATTACCATTTGGAGACCAAACTGAAATTGGAGAGAGGGTAAGCTATGTATAGTTTGTTTAATCAATGGACAAATTTCTAGAAAAGCCTTTTGTTTCTTAGTGGAACATAATGAACTTTGAGAGCTTAGGAATTGCTTGTTGTCCTACTGACAAATTCCAAAATGTGAGGACAGGAGTCCTTTGATGCCACTGTCCCTTAAGTATTTATTAAGTAACCAAACAATGTTGTGCTAACCACTCGGGGATTCTCAAGGAAAGTAAAAAACATCCCTGCTTTGACCAAATGTGTTTTTCCTTACTTGGAATTTACTTTCATTGCTTTGGAAACTGAGATTGCTTCCAACAGCTTCTTCCACTCTTGTCAACATCTATTTATTCTTATTGAAGTGTTCTTTTTTTCTTCCTGTAAACATACTTTACATTGACGTCATGCTATTTTGACCTCCTGAAAAATGTTTATACCTGCAGTCTTTGTGACATTATTGGCTAAAAGTTTTTAACCCTCAGAGGTATCAAGTGCTGGGTAAATGCATTATCAACTTTGACAACAAATCTGTGTTATGGGTGTTAATGTTCTCTACATTTTACAGCTGAGAAAACCAAGACTGAGAAGAGTTAAGGAACTTGCCCAAGTGCAAAGTTAGGAGTGCTGCCAGGATTATTGTAACTTTGTCATCTTTATTCTTAATGACTATTCTTTATTGCAGTATAATACAGTATTTAAGAGGATTGACTTAACTTTTCTGAGACTCAGTTTCAACATGTGTAATGTGAGAACAAGATGTGCATGTTGAAATTGCTATAAGGAAAAAAAGACAAAGGAAATGTGAAGCCATTTATACAAGCCTGATACATACTAACTGCTAAATGAATGCAAGTTTTTTAAATGTTTATAATTAATACTTAATTATGAAAGAATGTTGATGTATAGTACTGTTTAACATAATTTATAATATCAAATTTAAGAGGTATGTATTAAATAAACTACAGAAACAACTCAGGAAACTAGAAAAAAATTTTGAAATGGCTTGTAATCTTTGGCACTTACCAAGTGTTTTGGTTATTAATGCTTCTGTACAGCAGAGCTCTCTGTCAAGAGTGAAAGGAGGATTATAACAGTCAAAAACTATCTTGAAATAATTCAATCATTTACCACTAGACAGTTTTCATTTTTTCTTACCAATGCAACCACAATTAAAATATTTAGAGGCTTTTTTATTCTAAGGATATTTTTTGCTAACAGATTTTTTTTCTTTTTTTACTAATGGAAAAAAATGGGTGTTTCTTCACTAGGGCATCAACCTGAGTGGGGGGCAGAGGCAAAGAATCTGTGTGGCACGAGCTCTCTATCAAAACACCAACATTGTCTTCTTGGTAAGAATATAATCCTGTCTTTTATTTCTATTTCATTTTTCCCTCTAAACCAATGAGAGTCTTTGCAAAGACAAGTCCAGTAACTTAAGGGAAGATGGTTTAACTTGTGAAATCATAGAGCATACAGGTGAACCAAATCCATATGGCACAAATCAGTGGAAGATTGACATGGAGAGTTGAGATTTTGGAATTCAGCTTGGTGTCCAAGGACTGGGGTGCTCTAAGTGGGGTTTATCTGAGTTTCTTGACCAGGAGGATCATTAATGAGGGAATGTGGATGATATTGGATCTACTGGGCAGAATCGTACATCTTCTCATTTATATTCAATGACAAAGAAAGAAAGGCTAAAAAATATATCCTTGATGGGCACAAGGTGATTAAGCACAGTACTGCATTCCAGTGGTATGCAACTCAGGCTTTAGGTAAGATTGTCTGTGATGCTGCCTCAAACTATAGAAAGCTTGGCTCTACCTGAATCATAAGCAGTAAAGAAAGAGTCTAAAATCTGTCTTTAAAAATCTCCATGGATGATTCTCATGATTATCCTGGGTTCATAGTTTGTCTCTATCCACAGATTCACAAACTTTGTGATTATGTTGATTATAGTTTTGGTCTATTTTTGTTCCTCCAGGAGGCAGTAGGTAAAATAACTTTATAGGTAGTGAATATATGTTAGAGACAAGCAGAGTATGGAAATACATCCTTCCCTGCTTTCTTCTCTGGGCAACTGTTAACCATTTATAAATCTGATTTTTAGACCTTATTTAGAGTTCTCATTCCATCTTATCTTTAGAACCTATTCAAAATGTAGATTGATTTTTGTGTTTCTCACTGAGTTTGCATTACTTGAGAGAGTTGAAGAATTGGGACACTCTGGAAATTCATTTCAGAGTAAACCTCTAAAAGCATCTGTCTCTGAAATTTAAAATAAATAAACAAATAAATGTCACAGCAGGATCTAGCAACTACCTAGGTAGTTGTACATCCTTTGTATAATGGCTGGACCCACAATTGGAAATGAGTTCTTAAAACTTGGGATCAGTTAATGACTGTACCTTATAAGGATTACAGACTTGGAAATCAAAAGGTCCTCTGGGTATGATCTTATATCCCAGTTGATTCTATTGCCTGAAATTTAATAACACTGACATCAGTTGTCAAATTATTGAATTTAAAGTTGTCAAAAGGTTAATTTATTTTGGTTTCCCAACCATTCATTGCAGGATACTTTTATTATCATCTTTACCAGCTTCCTGATCACTCTCTGAAGATACACTGCTTATCTTTAAGTCATCCTTTCTCTTGTTGGACAGTGTATATATTTCCCAGTGATGCTATAACTAATTACTATAACGGATGACTTAAATAGCACAAATCTAGCATCTTACAGTTCTGTAGTGTAGAAGTCCAACCAAGTGTCAGCAGGTCTGTGTTCCTTCTGGAAGCTCTAGAAGAGAATTCATTTCCTTGGCTTTGGTAGTGTCTAGAGGCTGCTTGTATTCCCCGGCTCACAGTTGCCTTTCTCTGGTTTCAAAGTCAGCATGATTGTATCTTGCTGACCACTCACATCTCCCTCTCTCTCATGCAGAAAAATTCTCTGCTTTAAGGAATCCTGTAGTTGGTTTGGGTTCATCTGGATAATCTCCCTATCTCAAGGTCTTTCATCTTAATCACATCTATAAAGTAGCCCCAGGTTTTAAGAAGTAGGACATGGGCATCGACAGGGGCCATTATCCCAAAACAGACAGTTCTTATTATTGGAAAGTTATAATGTGATTTAAATTTGCTCTTGTGTAGTTTTCCATTTATTTATTCTCTTTATGTTTTTGCAATAACAAATGTAACAATTTCATGCAGCCATGGTTCAACATTTTAACATTCTTGTCATAGTTTACCTTAATTTACATTCTTCTAGATTTACCTATTCCCTCTCTTCTTCCCTTCCTCCTTTCTCTTTTCCATCAATCAGTTTCATCTTCTATGCAGGGTGAGAGGAAACAAAGGCAATAATGTCATTACTCTCTCTTTAAGGATCTTACTTGTAAAATAATTATTTGAATAGTTTTATATTTTTCTCTAAATAAACTTTATCATGTTAGCTTTAACACATCATTAAAGCCACATGAAAACATCTGAATTTTGTATCAAGAATATTAGTTATTTTTGAAACCTTATGGCATCTGCAAATGTACTGTGTATATCAATTAATATATTCCATAAAAAATCTTTAAAAATCCATATCCATAAAAATAATTTGCTTAAATATATTAATTGAATACTGAAGAGAATATATTTATAAAAAGTGTATATATGTATATTAAAATAAAATACTCTTGGGCTGGGGTTGTGGCTCAGCATTAGAGCACTTGCTAGCACGTGTGAGGCCCTGGGTTCAATCCTCAGCACAACATAAAAAATAAATAAGTAAAGGCATTGTGTCTAAATACACCTAAAAAATAAACATTAAAAAACATTAAAAAAATACTCTTGAATGGGACATTCATAGAATTGGCCATTTAGAAAATTTCATTGCTTTCTTTAAAGGAAGTATCTCCCCAAAGTATGAATATACAGACAACCTTGAGATATGCTTCTCAATCCATCAAGCCTGAGTTTATTAAGTTGTACAAAAGGTTACATTTGACTACAATGCCAAGATGTTCCACAATGAAGCCATGGAGTAGAGATGATACCTGTCATTACTAATGACTGTCTATCACCTAGATATGATCATAAGTACTTGATTCACATTAGCTCACTTGATGTATGCAATAACCCCATTAGATTTGGTTATTATTTGTTGTCAGTGTTGTTACTTCTCTGTATTGGTAATGATAACAAGGCTTTTGGGGATACATGTATCCAAGGTCACACAGATGGTAATAGTGAAGCAGGGATATAAATCTGGGGGTGGGGCTTGATTTCATGGTACATTTTTTTTTTTAGTTTTTTAAATTATATATTCATGAAGGTGAAAGTCCCTGTGGTATATTCACATATGTACATAGAAAAGTTTGGTCAGATTAATTCCAAAGTTCCTCCCTTTTCCTATCCCACCAGGCTCCCCTTCAATCCCCTTCCTCTACTCCACTGATCTACTTTCTGTTTTCATGGGAACCTCCCACTTTTGTTTTTCCTTATTTTGGTCTAGATTTCACATATGAGAGAAAACATTCAACCCTTGACTGTATAAGTCTAGCTTATTTCACTTAGCATAATGTTCTCCAATTCTATCCATTTATCAGCAAAGGACAATTTCATTTTTTCTTTATAGCTGAGTAAAATTCTATTCTGTATATATACCACATTTTTTAATTCATTTATCTGTTGATGAGCACCTGGGCTGGTTTCATACCTTGGTTATTGTGACTTGTGCTGCTTTAAACATTGATGTGGCTGCATCCTTATAGTATGCTGATTTTAGTTCTTTACCATTAATACCAAAGACTGGGGTAGCTAGGTCCTATGGTGGTTCTATTCTGAGCCTTTTGAGGAATCTCCATACATACTGCTTTCCAGAGTGATTATATTAATGTGCAGTCCCACTGAGAATGTATGAGTGTGCCTTTTCCCTCACCCACATCCTCACCAGCATTTATTGTTATTTGTATTCTTGATGATTGCCATTCTAACTGGAGTGAGATGAAATCTCAATGTAGATTTGATTTGCATTTCCCTGATTGCTAAAGATGAACAATTTTTTTGTATATTTGTTGGCCATTTCTATTTCTTATTTTGAGAAGTGTCTGTTTAGTTGGGTTATTAGTTTTTTTTTTTTGTTGTTGTTGTTGTTGGACTTTTTGAATTCTTTTTATATTTTAGATATTAATCCCTTATCAGAGGATCAGCTGGCAAAGATCTTCTATTCTCTAGGTTCACTCTCTTGTTTTCTTCTCTGTTCAGGTCACAGATTGTGCTCTTAATCACCACACTTTCTTTTTAAATGATTCTCAGAAGACAAAATTCTCACTGTGATGCATTGAAGATATAAGCATAATATTAATCCACTATGGCTTTATTTATCAGAAAGTAAAACTAAAACAATAGTCTCAAAATGATTTATAGAGACTTTTACTACAATATTTTATTGAATCTCTTTTTTTTTGTGGGGTGGGGGTACCAAGGATTGAACTCAGGGGCACTCAATCCCTGAACCACATTCCCCAGCCCATTTTTATGTTTTATTTATAGACAGGGGCCCACTGAGTTGCTTAGTGCATCTCTGTTGCTGAGGCTGGCTTTGAACGCTCAATCCTCCTGTCTCAGCCCCCCGAGCCACTGAGATTCCAGATGTGCACCACCACACTACACTATTTTATTGGCTCTTTGTAGTGATCTGATGTAATTTCTCCCTAGTCTCTTCATTATTATTCGTTTGCATAATAATACATTTCTTATTCATTATACTAATGAAATGACATTTTGAAGCATTACCCAGTGTAGAACTACAATTTAGGGTCCTTTAATTTAGAAATAATGAACTTTTCATTACCCCTTGCTAGCTTATAACATTTAAAGCCAAAATTTTATGAAAACCAAATTAAATTATAAAAACTCATTTATAATTCATGTCTTATTTTTAGTATATGTGAGAAATTCTCAGAAAGAATTATAGTTTGGTCTGTATCAACAAGGTTCCTAGGGGTTTTTTTTAAATGAGAAGCTAAAATGTGTCTCAAAAGCAGTCAAGTTACCCCATGACGATTATCTGATTTCCTAAAAGCAGTAATTTGCTGTAAAACAAATCTTAGTAGCAAAACCTTGCTGCATTGTTGTGGATGGAGATGAATGCATTGTTTGAGCTTGAAACAGTGATAACTATTTTCTACTGCTGTGAAAATATCTTACCCTGCAACACTTGGTACTGATGCCTGAATTTTCATTTTTAAGTAATTCAGAAGTTCCATTATGACTGCTGTGTTAAAAGAAAAGCCATATATTTAAGCAGTAGAATTCTATTACTTACCCAAAATCTAACAATAAGAAAATTCATATATTTTGTTTTCATCATAATTAGGAATTAAATGATGAGGACCTAGTGTCTGAGATGATTTTAAAAAGCAATGCACTAAGCAGTAAAGCCAACTCAATCTTTTATACATACTACTACTTGGAACATTCTGAAGATAATTGATAACTGATATATCTAGAGGGTCTAATATGTATCATTCAAATAAATTTCAGATCAAGATAACTGTCCTTAAGTCAATTTTGTTTCGTTATCATTTTTAAGTACAAAGAAAGTAAAATTATATATGTGTATGTGTGTGCAGCTATAATTACAATTTTCTTCAACTCTCACATTATCACAGTAGTCCATGATATAAATGGATTAAGTCAACCAAATAATTACAGGTATCTCTCTGTTGCTAAATGTATTTCTTTACATATAATATTTTAATTTGTTAGTTTTAGATATACATGACAGCAGAGTATATTCAGACATATTATACATACATGGAATATACATATTCTAATTAGGATTTCATTCTTGTGGTTGTACATGATGTGGAGTTTCACTGATCATGTATTCATATATGAACATAGGAAAGTTATGTCCAACTTCTGTTGCTAAATGTATTTCTATAAAAGCCTTTTGTGGACATTAGTTATGCCACCCATTTAACTAGCATTGTAACTATGATATCCAGTAGATTTGATTTTTTTTTTCTGTCTGAAGTACTGGGAATCAAACCCAGAGATGCTCTACCAATGAGCCATATCCACAGCCCTAGATAGACTGATTTTTAAAAGGCTATTATCAATTTTGAATCACCCTTTAACTATCTAAATGCTTTACTCCTATTTCTTTTTATAAGGCTTCTCCTAAATATTTTAATAAGGCCACATTGCTTAAAGATTCTGTCTATATAGGCAGAGATTGGTGGAAAGTTGAAAAACTATTGAGCTGATTATGTCACTACCAGTAATGACCACCTGCATACATTTATTCTTTTTAAAAATATTTTTAGTTGTCAATGGACCTTTATTTTATTTATTTATATGCAGTTCTGAGATTCTAACCCAGTGCCTCACACACAGTACTCCACCACTGAGCCACAACCCCAGCCCCTACATAAATTTATACTAACTTCCAAATATCAATTTCCATCTAATTAGAAATTGCTTTTATTTGGCATTGTCTACATAATGAGCCAATAGTATGTATCTATATAGAGAATATACTGGTGCCAAATTGTTTCCAAATTTTTCCAGGATTATAATTTATAAATATTGAAATAGGTAACCTATCTGCATTAGAATGAAAATCCAACCACTATTTTCTTGGGACCACATGACAAAGTAGAAATTTGCATATTATTACATACGCAGAGGAACAGCAATGAAATAGGTGTGAGGCAATGAAGAAGACAAGATTGCAATCACTCTTCTCAGTTCCTTACCAGAAACCTCTCTCATTTTGTACTGCTCTGTTCCTTCATCCATCCCTCAGCTTCCTTCATCCCTTTCATTACTGGTGCTTCTGACCGTTAATTATATATTTCTGCATCATCATCCATCCATACAGATCATTTTGCTTTGCAATTTATTGTTTTGAGAAAACTAGAAAGTTTTCTTCAGAAAAAAAATAAAGTTATGACCTTGGATTTAAAAAAAAAATAAGAAAGTTTTCTTCAGTGATTTCTAATTTTCTTCTTTTAAATTCCTCAACAAATGAAACCATGCAATCCAATGCTATCACATTATAGGAATAAAATATTATTCATAGGTAACGTCATCACTGAAGTCAATAACCATAATTTCCTAAATCGTTTTTTAAATGTCTTTATCACTTAGTGCATGAAAACTCTCTTCCCCACATGATGGGCATTAATTCAGTGTTAAGCATGTTATTTTTGTACCTAATAATGACTGACATTTGTCTAGTGTTTATTATACTCTTAGTACAAAGAATTTAATGTATATTACCTTATTTAGTCATAAAAGCAATCCCATTAAATAAGTCCAGTTGTGTACAATTAGCATTTTCTATGCCCATCTTAATTATCTAGAACTCAGATGCTCCAATTATCTTTTCATTCTTTGCTTTGGTCTATTGTTGTTGGTTGCTGAGTAATGTGGTTTTTTAACTTGAAGATTCTATCAGATATCAAATCACTTAGAACATCCTTGCTTACTTTTTAAGTGTTTTTTAAAGTGAAAGAGAAAATGAAAGCCCCGTTTGTAAGTTAATATCTTTTTCTGACTAAAGTCATACAAGGTCTATTTTTTATAAATTTGCTTTGGAGATAATTGGTCCTTTGTTATTTGTATGTCTACTTTCGAGAGGAACTGAGTTACATAAAGAGTGTGGAAAATGTTCATCTTCCTCCATTTACTTGATTGCAGGATGACCCATTTTCTGCCCTGGACATTCACTTGAGTGATCACTTAATGCAGGAGGGGATTTTGAAATTTCTCCAAGATGACAAAAGGACACTTGTTCTCGTGACTCACAAATTACAATACCTGACACATGCTGACTGGGTGAGAATTGCGTTATATTTATATGACAGACACGTAATAGAGATGTGAAGAAATGCTTTCTGAAATAAAGCCATTTATGGGATCACTTAAAGCTTTTTTCCGCCCATGTCTGCTTATATGCACTCTCCTTAGATCATAGCCATGAAAGATGGAAGTGTGCTAAGAGAAGGAACTTTGAAAGACATTCAGACCAAAGATGTTGAGCTTTACGAGCACTGGAAAACACTTATGAATCGGCAAGATCAAGAATTAGAAAAGGTAAATGCTCACTTCAGAAGAGTGAGAAATGCACTGTATAATTACTAATACTGCTTTTAAAGCAGCATCACATTTAATGCTTGATATTATAATGGTTCTCATCTCATATCCCAAATAATTGTCATTCATGAACATGCTATTTTGAACCCATAAAATTTTAATGCTATCTTTTGGATGAAGCACTGTCAGGTTTGATAGGTTTTCATTTAAATTTGAATCAAGATGATTTTGAAAGGAAGAAAAGCTGTGAGCTGTGGGTGAGAGCTGAGAGATGTGGGGAGGTGATGAAAAGGACATAAATTTTAAAAATTTTACTCTCAAAAATTGTTTACAGTCCACAAAATCTTTTATTTTAACACAATTTTACTTAAATTTCACAAAACGCTGGGAAGTAAACATGGAAAAATATTATCTCATTTTTACAGATAAGTAAACCAAGGTTCAGAGAGATCAAGTAACCCGCCTAAATCTGTACAGTATGTGTAAGTGACACCAGTGAAATTTAAACTCAGGTCCCATATCCAAATTAATTGCACTACGATGCTACAACATTAAATGAAGCAATAAAAGAGGTGGAAACCAAATTGAGTACAACTAAGGTTAAGAGAAGAAATTATCAATTAAATTTGTAAATTTTCAAAATGTTTTGCTTTTTGAGTTTGGGTTAGAATGAGTCCAGAATTTGGTATTGCTGATCAGAAATGAGCTTTACAAAATGAAATATTTGTATCAGCAAATTTCTTTTAAAAATCGGGAAATTAAACTGAATTACTTTAGAAAGAAAAAAAAACGATGTTTCCATTGAGAGGAAGAGAAGAAAATCAGACAAATTTTGGATATTTCTCTTTCTTTGTGGATTTGCTGAAGAGCCCAGAGCAAACCACATTAAGAAGAAAAGATACATATAAAAATTTACACATGAGATAGGACAAATCACAGAGCCATTGAAATTTTCTGTGCTTATTTCTCAGGGTTTTGAGATTTAAGTGAGATTGTGTAAATCCATTACAGGGTACAGTCGGTAAGTGACCACTTAGGAATTGTGCTATGGGAAACTTGATTATAAACATACTGGGGATGGCTCCAAATGACATTTTTTCAGTGATCTAAATGCCAGGGACAAAGGAATATGATGTAAGCCTAAGGAGTTGGACAATTTATGGTTTACTTTGGAAAGAAGATCTGGAAAAAAAATGAGAGCTGTTGGCTTGATATTATAGTAATGCTGTTAAGCAAGCCAGGAAGAAAGTCCATTAAGTTGTATTTAGAATGAAGTGATCACTTGAGATAGCATAGCTGTGTAATTAAAGACAGATTACGGGAGTATAAATCAACTGTGGGGCTATGGAGCAAGTGAGGGTATGGTCACGATAGATCCAGTTGTGAGGTGGATAGCAGACAGGAGAAGCCAGAATAACCAAGCACCTGCCCAGAGTCCCCATCTGGGCATGGAGGGAGGTTACTGCCACATAATGAAAGGCAGGCACCTGAAGCCAGAGAAAGACATATTTGGAGAACAAGACCACTTCAGTTCCTCGGGGAAGGTTTTGTGGGCACAGCTCTCTGTTTAGCTTGGTATGCAGTGGTAAAGGGTGTTTACCTATCAGCCAGGGCCGGTTTTGCCTCCCAGGAGACACTTGGCAGCATCTGAAGACATTTTTGCTACTAGGATCTAGTGGGTAGGATACTGTTCAGCATTTTGCAGTGTGCAGAGCAGCCCCACGACAAAGAACCATCCATCCCAAATGGCAGCAGTGATAAGCTGAGCAAGCCTGGCCTGGACACGGAACAAGTGAAGCAAGTTCAGAAGGAAAATGAGACCAAAGGACACGCAAAACCTCCTACCACAGGGCTTGAGGAAGAACTGTCAGCTTAACAGCCAAGGGGTAAAATAAGAAGGAATGTTTAAAAGATAGTAGTAATGAAAACTACAAAGAAAGGCAAGGGGACAGCATTGCTAACTGGTTTAAATATTAAAACTTCTAGCATGGATGGCATCAACCATCATCTTCATGATGTTATTAAGTAAAATCAACAATTTTTTTGTGGTGTTGGGGATTGAACTCAGGGCCTTGTGCATGGGAGGCAGGACTCTACCAATTGAGCTATAACCCCAACCCAAAATCAATATTTGATGCCCCTCACTAGCTCTCCCCTACCCTTACCTTGGCCGGGCCCAGTCAATATTTATTGGACAAATAAAACTAAGTTTGTATTTATTTAATCCAAATATCAACATTATTTAAAATAGTTACCCTATAATGAGTTAATATGAGCATTTATTCTTAAGAAAAAATGCTTTAAAGACTTTTTGTGGTTTTCAGTCTCCAAGATCAAACCTATGCTCACAACTAGGCGGGAATTGAACCAGTAAAATCTGTTTTTCAGGATTCAGGTTTATTTCATTCCCTTACATGCTACACAAAAGATAGGAATTCTTTTTTCACTTTGTGTTTTTTCTAGACTCATTGACAAATGTTAGTTTTCATATCAAAGTTAATCTCTAATGTGGAATTGTCTTTGTAAAAATGTTATTCAAGAAACACTTTTGCTTTTACCCTTTTTTTAAAAAAAATATTCATTTTTTAGTTGTAGTTGGGCACAATACCTTTATTTTATTTATTTATTTTTTTAATGTGGTGCTGAGAATTGAAACCAGGGTCTCGCATGTGCGAGGCGAATGCTCTGCCACTGAGCCACAACCCCAGCCCTGCTTTTACCCTTTTGACTAAGAATCTGGAAGTAATAGAGACTTACAGAAGAGCAAGTCTCATAATCCCACATGTGACATGAGGCCCAAAGAACCCAAGATCACTACCTATGTATTGAGCGCCAAAACTTTATTGACCCACTGATGTAACAAACTGTGTTTTCTGTTGTTGGTGATAGTATTTGTATTTTTATGTACAGGAAGCTCACAATTTGTCATAGATTCCAAAAGTTTGTGGATAAGTTTTTTGAGACACAGAGTGCACTTGCCACACAAAAGCAGGGTGATGGTCATTTTTCCAGACTGACCTACAGAACCTGGTTAAACCTACCATGTAACTGAACCATTACTACCACCTCAGGTCTGAAGTTAGGGGACAGGGGCTGAGGGGTTGGAAGCCAGGAAATGGAGAAAGTGGAATGCTTTCCCTTTCTTGGCCACAGGACATATCTGTATCAACCCTTAAAAACTTAGTTTGGTTTTGGCACTTTTCCCTTGTCTTTCTCCATATTTCCTCTCCTGAGGTCCTTTTTCTCTTAAACTGCTAAGCACCTAAGGACCATAATTGCCTGTTTCCTTCAAAATTACCTTCTTTCCTTCAAATCCTATTGAAGTCCCTTTCTTCTGTGCACCTCCCTCAATGAGATGCTAAAGAAATTCATTCTGATTAAATAACACATATTACTAGTAGATACCTGATAGGAGTTCAGCCAAATCAGAATGACATGCATTTTCTTTTTTTTTCCTTGATTTTTAAAATTTGTTCATTTTAGACATACATGACAGTAGAGTGCATTTTGACATATTATACATACATGGATTATAATTTCCCATCTTTGGTTGTACATGATGTGGAGTTACACTGGTTGTGTACATGCATTTTCTTTTTTTAAAAAAAATTATTATTTTAGTTGTAGATGGACACAATACCTTTATTTTATTTATTTAATTTTATGTGATACTGAAGACTGAACCCAGGGCCTCATACGTGCTAGGCAAGCGCTCTACCACTGAGCCACAACCACAACCCCTACATGCATTTTCTTAAGGAAGGAAGATATTTATGTTAATAAATATAAGTCCTTAGAAAAATTAGTGTGTTTGAAATTGATGTGAAAATAAAACAAGTAGCAGTGGTGAAGCTATGCTTTAGGGTGAGTGGAGTTACTTCCCTGCCCCTGGGGTTGGTGCCATCAAATTGTTTCTGTGTTCCTGGCTCCCCGCTGCCCTCTGGGAGCTGAAGTGTTTTGTACAAACCTGACATTTCTACAACTGCTCCTTTGCCGGGAGTCCTGGGTCTCCAGAATGAGCGGAGAACCCTTGAGATGGCATAAAACCATCTGCATGTGTCATTCATTGGAAAGTCAAAGCCCTCTTCTGCGGGGAGCTCCTTGAATGATGGCACAATGTTTGCTGTAGGATATGGAAGCTGACCAGACAACTTTAGAGAGGAAAACTCTCCGAAGAGCCATGTACTCAAGAGAGGCTAAAGCCCAGATGGAGGATGAAGACGAAGGTAGATCTTTTCATTTTTAATAATTTTTCTTGTATCTGAATGTGCAAATGAGGTAATAGAATGTTAGGGGTTTACCTTGTCAGTTGATGTGTGAGTTCCTCTGTAAGGAATAACAGGCCACTTTGTGGGGTGGAGGGAAGCTAAATCAAATGGCCAATGCCAAAAATCAAAAGAATGAGAGTGAAGGAAAGGTGTATACAACCCATACAAAAGCACTGTGTGTCTTATTACATCTGTGCCATGTGTGACAGAGAACTGAAAGAAAAAGGCAGCGGTCTATAAGCATATCTAGACCTTTGTTCAGAAAAAAATGGAATGGTATAATAACCAAATCAAAATATTTATTTAATAGAATATCAACTCTTTGGAAATGTATAATTAGTGGGAAATATGGGAAAGATACTTTGGGAGTACCTACATTTGATTCATTCATGATCTTTCATGGCAGTAAAGCAATAAAGGATAAGAAAATAGGTGCTTCTACCACCTATTGGCCAGTTCATTACATGGACAGATTAGGTACTGGGAGAATAAAGAAATTTTGTTATACTTCCCTATTCTGGATCTAATATGGGAAGCCGGGGAAAAGGATTCACTGTAAATCTGAATAACAAAATACAATAATTATATTATCTTGACATTTGCGCCAAATAAGTAAGGACTACCTCACAAGTCCATCTAGTAAACACATCACCTATGTAGCTTTTACTTATAATTGAATTTCAATAAACCAATTAAGAAGTGAAGAAAATTGAAGTTGGAAGCCAGAGACCAGCAAAACATGCTTCCTTTATGTTTCATATGACTATTCAGTGTTTCAGCAGGTGTTCATGGAGTAAATGAATGAATGAAAAACTGAATTCTTCATTTCAGTTTATAAGATTTAAAAAAAAATGTTCTTAGAAACATTCATTAGTTTCTGGAATTCCAAAACAATTATTTTTGATCCACTATAAAAGTGGAGTTATGCTGAATTATTTCCTCCGTTGTTCCAGTGGGAAGTATACCACTGGGGACACTGATTCTGCTCTGGGCTTGCTGGCTTGATCCATTTTCTCAGATATATATATAAAAAGAATATGCTACTTAGGAAAGGAGATGATGTACACTAAAGAGCTCATTATAGTCCATGTTCCTTCCAAGGCTGCTGCTCAGGTCCTATGCCTGTTCAAGTAATCAGGAGGGGAAAAAGGAAATAGTGGGCACCTCCTTTCCTTTAAGAAACTTGGAGTTGCATGTACTGCTTCTACCACCTTTGGCCAGTTCATTACATGGACATATTAGGTACTGGAAGAGTAAAGAAATGTTGTCTTTATGTGCAACCGTGGGCAACCTGAAATTTCAGTTAATGTAGAAGTAGAGAGTGGATGCTGGAGAGACAGCTAGCAGTGCACAGATGTTTACCTTTTTGGTCGTGCAAACCTCCATTCCTGTCATCACCCAGAGAACACACTTACTTGCTGCATTCAGTTCAAACATTTTCATACTTGGATCCCTGTGGTCTGATAACCTGTAAAGCAGAGACATGTCATCTGTCCTTGTGACCCTGTGGAATATGCACAGGATATGAGTAATGAAAACTGCCTTTGGAGAAGGAAAGGAGGGGAAGCACTGCAGTCACTGGGCCATACAGAAGACCAAATTTTGCTGGACATTAAATGCAGAAAGTTCTTGCCCTAGCAGTGGAGTCCATTCTTAGGATAGCCCGACTTGAAGTACCCAAGCAGTTTCAATATTTGAAAGAACCCCTTTGACCATTGTTCTCTGTGGCCACCGACTTTACCCTCTGAAACTTCCTCTTTGTCAACTTAACCCCATGACCATTCTAAAATGGAACAGAGAAAGCATGGGTTCCCCTTCCTGAGCTATACAAAGCTTCTGTTTTAAACGTCTAGTCAGTTTGATCTGAATATCAGCAAATGTTCCTATCCAAATATAGACTTTATGTTTATTTAGTCCTTCCTTCATTCATTTTTCACCTATTTTTTTTAAATTGAGGTTTGTCTTGCTAAACACATTTAAAGCTTCCAAGACTAATTATATTTCTATAAAGTTTGAGGGAAACTTATATATAGTTTTGTGGTACACAATAAAAAATTCCATCCTTATGGTGCCCATCTGAAGCTTAAACAAGTTTCTTTTTGATGTCTGTGTGCAGAGGAAGAAGAGGAGGAAGATGAGGATGATAACATGTCTACTGTAATGAGGCTCAGAACGAAAATGCCATGGAAAACCTGTTGGTGGTACCTCACTTCTGGAGGATTCTTCTTACTCTGCCTGATGATTTTCTCTAAGCTTTTGAAGCATTCAGTTATTGTGGCTATAGACTATTGGCTGGCTACATGGACATCTGAGTATAATATAAACAATACTGGAAAAGCTGACCAGGTACAGTGGGTTCAGTTCTGCTCTAAAATCATCAGGAAACTATTGAGATTAAACAGTGATGCCAATAGTTAGATGCTAACAGCCCAAATGTCAGTGGGTTTCTGCAATGATTTCATAAGTTAGTAATTAGAACAGAACCTGAAATAGAATGAACTCAGTAATGTAAAAATCACGTCTATTATTACTACTTTTATCTTTAAAGTTTATCATAAGAAATATGAAAAGATGATGTTTGTATTTGGATTCAAGGAAGTTCTATAAACACAAATGTGCAGTACTTTTTGTTGTACTTGTGATGGTATTTGATTTTAACTCCTTATTTCAGTGTCTTAGCTAATCATTCTGTGGATAGGGAGGTGAAGAATGAACTCCGCAAAAAGTAGAAAACCAAGAATATGCTCAAAGCTGAAAACTAACTCTCTATCTTCATTTGACCTTAGACAAATCCTGAAAGAGAGTGAAAGAAGTGAACAGGCCCGTGGCCTGTGGGACTATATGGTTGGGGTACTGTCCTGGATCTGCAAAAACTGCTCTCCTTTAACTATTAAAGTGTGCAAGATGCCAACCATCTTGTCTGACTTTGACATTTGGTTTTCTAGTAAAAGAAAAACCCAGTTGATGATTTCTTATGAACGTTTCATGTTGGTTGCCTTGTAGACCTACTATGTGGCTGGATTTAGCATACTTTGTGGAGCAGGTATTTTCCTTTGCCTGGTTACATCTCTCACTGTAGAATGGATGGGTCTCACAGCTGCCAAAAATCTTCACCACAATCTTCTCAATAAGATAATTCTTGGACCAATAAGGTAAAGTAAGGTCTTTTTGCTCCTACAAACAAAATAATAAAATATGCATTTTTAAATTTTAAGTGAAATGTGAAAGTTAAAAGAATTTCTTCAGTCTGAGCAAATGAATAGGACAATGGCATTTTCACGACTCTAGACATCCCTTAATACTGCTCAGGTTCCAGTTAGTTTAGTATTATCATGTTCTTCAATCTGTTCACTGCCTAGGTTCTTTGATACCACTCCCCTGGGGCTGATTCTCAATCGATTTTCAGCTGATACTAATATCATCGACCAGGTGAGTGCCTGAGTTACTTCCACGTTCAAAAATAAGCTTCTCTGTAAGCTGAACTACATTTTAAGATAAAGCATGATTACAATTAACAGTAAAGAATGCTAAAATGTAAAGCCTGTTTACAATGATTCGTAGCAAAAAATATTAATGGAAAACTTTAATTCAAACTAACTTGTGCATGTAGCAGAGGATACTTACAAACCAGTGTTAAAGTGACATAGCAAAGAATGAACCAATATTTAAAGTTTTTTATTATAAAAAGAATGATTTTGATTAATGTTGTATAGCTATTCATAAAAAAAATTCTTAAAAGTTTAATATCCATGTAGAGTATCTCCCAGAAATGACAGGTGGAATACCAAATTATCTTAGATGTTCTTTACTTTTATTAGATTGGCTCTTGGGGCTTTAGATGGCGTGATAGTTCAGGGAATGTTCTAAGAATTATAGTTTAGTGTAAGATCCTTAGGTCTCAAGAAGTTTGTCTTGAAATTAAAGATGTCAGATTCAACAGAGAATCATTGCAAGAGCAGAATCCTTAGGATGATTGAGGGAGGAATTCATTAAATCCAGATCTGGCCTTTCTGACATTCCAAAGTAGCATTGGAAACTCACAAATTATCTTAGATTTAGAAAAAGAATGCTTGATGCATGTAGCTGACGAGAAGCATGCTGAGACATTTTGAGGGATACTTGGCATACATGTTGGAAAAGAAGAGACAGAACAGTCACTAGTTAAAAGGTAATAAAATTGCTTCCTAGAAAATTCAAAATAATTAGCAAAATAAAAAAGAAAAACAACTGGAAATTTCAGCAGAATATCTGGATGAGACATAGCGTATGAAGATTGGTAACTTTCTCTACATACCAATTAATAAATTGTGTGAAAAATAGATTCCATTTATAGTAACAACAAAAACTAGGAACTAGAAATCACCTAATATGAAGAAAAGATATCCAGCAATTTCAGAAGTCATTAAAATTCTGTGTGTGTTATATTCTGTGTATATTCCTTTATCAGATATCTAAAAACTATAATAAAATTAAAATACTCCATTGATCACAGAAGACAAGATGACCAAAAGAACAGAATGGAGAATTCAAAACCACTAGCATATATAGAAATTTAATGTAGAATAACTTGGCATCTTGAATCAGTAAAAAGGACTTATTTTGATAAAGTATATAGTAACGATTAACTATTCATAAGATATAAAACATATGCATATAGAATAAATATGGTGACATAAAGCCATAAATTATAAAATTAAATATAAATTAATAGTTTAGAATCTGGGAAAGAGAAAGATATAAAATTCAGAAACAATAAAGCCCAACAGATTTGACTGTTTAAATTAACTTTTATAGAGCTAAAAGCATCAAAGACAAATTTAAAATGTAAAATCCCAAACAAAGCCACTCAAAGAATATAAGCAAGGAATTGTAGAAAACTAATTTTAATGTCTTCTAGCAGAAGTACACCTAAATAGCTTTTAAAAGTACTATACATCCATTAAAAGGAAATAGATTTATATACACTTACTTGGGAAGATTTACAATCCATCTTATCAGGCAAAGTAAAACAAGCACATGGATGAATAAAATTTATAGTATAGTGCCATTTTACATAAAATACCAAGATAAATAGGTAGATAGGTAGATAACTAATCAATGATATGTAGATAGATAGGTAAATAGCTATACTAAACTATGGGTAGTGAGTGAAGAATTGCTTACTATGAACATGAATGTATACTATTGTGTAAATAACTCTATAACTTGCCATTAATATAAAATGAATATTTTTGTTGCATTGTAATCAATGCTTCATTTGAACTAAGATACATTTTTCTTTAAAATGACCTTTTCAATAGCATATCCCTCCAACTCTGGAATCTCTAACTCGCTCAACACTGCTTTGCCTGTCTGCCATTGGGATGATCTCCTATGCCACTCCCGTGTTCCTTGTTGCTCTTGTGCCTCTTGGAGTTGCCTTTTACTTCATCCAGAAATATTTCCGAGTTGCCTCTAAGTAAGTACAAGTGTTCTACTCATTTTCAATAGCCTGTGTATTTGATTGACTGTGAATTACATTTGCTGCAGTGTTTTTTTCCAGATAAGGTATGGAATTTAGAAATGCAGCCAATTTTTTATGTGCTTATGCCTATTCTTAGATGTAGTATAAGTGTTCTTGCAAATTTTTGTTTGAGCCTTATACATAGCACTAGACATACACTAACATGTGTATTGATCTGTTGAGTTCCAAGTCTGCTAAATTTTTTATCCACTGGTTCTTTTTCTGAACTTGACATTGGCAGAAAACTTACTAAATCAAACATAGTCCCCAAGAAAGTAATTAATATCATTATATTCCAAAGTGGAGAAAAATTTACAAATTTTTAAACTTTAAAGTAATGGTGTGAAATATTAGAAGTAAAAAAAAAATCAGTGATAAATCAGCCATGACTATAAATGTAGATAATCTTGAATGTCTGACAAGAGTGTTATAACTTTAAGAGGTTGGAAAATTTGGGGTTGGATCATTTTACCCACATTTGAATATCCAGCTAAATAAATGAAGGGTAGCCACAAATTTTAAATTCTTCAGTTAATATAGAAACTGTCATTTGCCAAGATCATGAATAGTTAATGAAATATAATATCAGTGGTTTTAAAATTTACAGTTTCACTATGAAGCTTTGCTATAAATAGTATAGTAAAATCTGTTATTGCAAGAATCACTTTATTTCAACAAACACTTATTAAGCACTTACTGTGTTGCAAATATCTGTGCTAATCTAGGTGAGGCAACCAACATGAGAAAAACCTGTTCTCAAAGAAACTTAGTCTCCCCTTAATATAGAATCTATACAAAGTAATCCTAATATGTGGATTTAGTGCTAGAATAAAAGGCAGATATCGAGTTCATACAGAAAATCGAAAATATTTAATATGACTTGAGTGCCCAGAAGATGAAGGAGAGCAGGGAAGGTAAGTAGAAAAATGAGGGGTTCCAGATGGGAACTTCTGAACATATATAACACTTCATAATTTAAAAAATATAATTGTGCCTTCCCCTAGCCTATGAGCAAGGGTCTTTTAAATATCGCGTGTTCATAGTAAATAGATTTTTCTTTTTTTTTTGGTAGCAATTCAGACTGAAAGGGAGAAGTTAGTGATCAAATTCCCTTTTATTTCCTCTGATGTTGTTGGAGGACTTACCCATTTGAAAAAGTCCAGGGAACTTACCAGACTATTTTTATATACATGAAAGAGAATGTAAGTGGGGAGCTAGCTACTGGAAATGCCTTGGGGTTTTGAATACCTAATTCAAAGGTCTAACAGGTAGTTAGTCTTTTCTTCTTATAAGAATACAAGATCAAGCTGTATCCTCACCTGTTTGATTCCACAAAACACATTCCTGTAAACAAAGTTTACTCTGTCCTTTTTTTCTTCTCCACTAACCTCAATGTAGTGACCATTTCTTTGATTGTGTGACATGTACCAAAAGTCATTTGGTTTCATGTTTAAAAATAAGAAACTATTTCCAAATCTTCATTTTTTGTTCTCCTTCCCTCTGTCTTTCCCTCCTCCACCTGTAATTTCTGAACTAAACAAGTCCATTTTAGAAATACCAAATTGCAAAGACTTTGCATTTGTTTGTGGGGTTACAGAGGAGCCAAGAACAGCCTAATTGTTGAACATTGTGTAACAGTGTTTATCAGTTCAGTTGACTCTGGCAGGTGAATGTTAATGCTGCTTCTCTAATGTTCTCTCAACCCTGATGACCCAAAGTAGGGCAGAAAAAAGATGGAAATAAAATCTTTGAAATAAGTGCTTTGAAATAAGTGGTATAATTCTTGGCCTGTCTTCTAGAAATGCTAACTCATAAGGTTTAAAGAAAAGTTCTCAAAAGTATGCATCTTTTTTAAAAAAGTCAGATTCTAGCAATTCCATTCAGTGAATACTTTACACATACATACACACACACACATACATACACACACACGCACACACATACACACACATGCACAATACCACACATTTATAAATGTATATGTCTATACATATAGTTCCTTGGGGGAAATCAATGAAAGCTCCATGAAGACGTTGTGTCCAAAGCCAAACTCTTGATCTATTTTCACCATATCTCTTTCTCTTTGTCACCCCCACCCTGGTAAATAGCACTATCATATTTTGATTATGCCAAACCACAAATAGCCATGCCATATTATATTTGACTTTTCTTTACCTTGATACAACTAATTAGTCATATTATATTTGACTCTTCTTTTCCTTGATACAACGAACTTTATATTCATTGCAGAATATAAAGTTATTCCAGTAGGCTATCTCACAGTCTTGACCCCATCCTTTATTTTAAATCTAATCGGCATCATATTAATTTAGAATTTTAAAAATCTCTTATGCAGACTATCCTAACTGTTCCCCACTCACTCATTTTCTTTTATCCCTCACACTGTCTCCAAGTAATGTTGATCAGGCACAGCTCTGATCATTTCATCTGTAGTCTTCAGTGTTTTTTTTTTCTTCCTAATCTCTTTAAGAATTCTCTGCAGTCTAGTCCAGGCTTACAAGGCCACATCTCTATGGAGCCATTTCCCACTACAGAGCCCCAAGGCCTTCTGGGCCTCAGCCAGAGTGAACTGGCCAAGTTTTCCAGACTTCTGTGCTTGCTCTTGTTATTCCTTTAGCTAATATTCACTTGTCTATTCCGTTGAAGCCTTCATCATTCTTAAGGTTTGACCTAAATTTCACCTGCCTAAAAAAACATACCATTCATTTCCGAGGTATGAATTAACTGCTCTTTCCCTGGGTTCCTACAGCAGTTTACATCAGCCGTTACACAAAGCTGAGAGTTTTGTTCAAAACATGTTCCCAGAATGTAACCATCTTTTTCTTCCTCTCTAATGTGTAAGCTATTGAAGTTTTTTGTTGAGAGCTAGGGGAAATAAATATAATGACGAACACAAGTATAATGACAAAATAACCTTGATTTAGAAGCATATGGTTCTTGCGCCAGGAGGCATGTAGAGCTTACTGTGGCTTGTCCTTCCTAGGGACCTCCAGGAACTTGATGACAGTACCCAGCTCCCTCTGCTCTGCCACTTCTCAGAAACCGCTGAAGGACTCACTACCATCCGGGCCTTTAGGTGAGTAAACGTGCTCATGTTGCTGATTAGGAGATTGCATCAGCAACAGATGTTTATCTTCAGATAATACATAATAGCTGACATTTTTTTGAATGCCTACTGTGTGCCAAATAGTGAACTAAACCAGGAGTAAGAATAATGTGGCCATAAATGATCAGAATTAGAGTTTAACCCTCTGAAATTTTAATAAGAATAAAGAAAGGATGAAGCAACATATTGGAAAGGTATTAGCTTTGCATCTTAGATGAGGTTTTCAAAATTCTCTGGCCTTTATTTACTCAGCTATGAAATGGGGAAATCAGTCTTGCTCATTAGGGTGCTTGGACTAACTGTTGAAGAAGCACCCAGTCAGCAAGTTAAAATAAATGTATGGATGATAACAGTAACAATAATTCTAACAAAAGTAATACTGTTGCACCAAAGTTATTTTAGAGTTGAATCAACATTTTTCAACGTTTGCAAACAGAGTAATAACACAGGTTTTTGAGGAACGCTGTTTCCTTGACCCTCAAATTTCTTGCCCTGTTTTCCTTTTCAAGTAAAATCAGAAAAGAAGACATTGCAGAATACTTCATTTGATCAGGAAAACTGACATTTTATAATGCTGTGTCTTTCTATCACCATTATTGCAAGTATGCTTTGATTTTTAACCAGAGATTTTTCTAACCTAAGAAATTTATTTTAAAAATGCAGAATTGGGTGTGAGAGTAGAATATAAAGACACAACTTTCTGAAACATTATGTATCACAGAATTTCTGCATAAATCTGTGCAGGTTTCATCACACAGCATTCACACTTCCTGTCCTGAGATGCTTTCCCCTTTCATTGAGGATGTTAAACTGTTTATTGGCACCAAAGATAGATTTTAACATAAAATTTATATTTAAATTATATCTAGCAGAGACAACAATTAAAAGATTACCATTTTCACTAAAGTCCTTTCAAGTTAATTTACCAAAAAAAATATTTATTTAAAAACTGAACACATGCCAAGTACTATTCTTTCTTTTCTTCTCCACATTTTTTATTGGTACATTATAGTTGTACATAATGGTAGGATTTGTTGTCACATATTCATGCATGTACACAATATAACAATATATTTTGGCCAGTATCACCTCCCCAGCACTCCCGCCATGTACTATTCTTGTAGATAAAGACTGAAAATATATGGCCTTTTCATTTCCATTCCAGCTAAAGGGAACACTCTTTGCCACCTACTTACCTGCCATGTTATCCTGTTTATTTCTCTTTTAGTGTTACCAGAGTATTTAAAAATTCAACTTTCTCTATTTTTAAATTGTTTACATGCTTATTATCCATCCTTTCCAACTAGAATGTAAGCTGTCTAGGAGCAGGCCTTTTTCTTCCCCCATTGTTATATCGTCAATACCTGGGAAAAATGTCCAGCATTGAATGAGTACTTAAGAAATTTATGTTGAATACTAGGAGACATGAGCTCTATCCTAAGGAGCTCACAGTCTAGAATGAGAAATGGTTTTCACAGGAATCCATTGTTAGAAAGCAGGGTAGCATTTTGCCTCAAAAGAGTTGGGAGATAATTATTGAAGAGTAAATTTTGAATGAATAGCTAACCTGGCTAGTAAAGGGGATATACTATTCAAAGCGGAATAGTGCAAAAGCATAAAGATTTCTATTTTATGTAGAAATTGAAAGAATCCCGTGTTGTAGGAATGGAGAGGGTGACTCACGATGAAGCTTGAAAACATGAATGCAGACTGTTCATGAAGCATATTGGATAAGCTCCTGAGCTTAGAGCTTATTCTTTTCATGTTGGGGAGCCACTGAAGGATTTTTAAGAGAACAATGACACAACCAGAGTTATGTTCGTCAGAATAACACTGCTGTACTGTGAAAAATGAGTGGGGATGGTTGAGGCTAAAGGTAATAAGATGCCAGGAGGCTGTTGCAAGTGATCCATATGACGTGGCCAGAGCTAGCTAGAGCAGGTACTAAGCACCTGGACAGAGAGTATACATTTTAGCAGGACATGAGACCAGTGAGAGTTAGGGAGAAAATGAGAATGAAGGAGAAATTAAAGTTGATTCCTTCCAGGTCTCTGATCCCCATAAGTGAGTACAGTTTTCCAAGTTAGGAAATTGAAGACCCTGTGGAGGATTGGGGAAGGAGATGCTGACTCTGGTTATGAATAGATCAAGCTGCTGATGTGATACCCACTTAAGATTTGGGGAGTTACTTGTGTATATAGGTCTGGTGTTTAAAGAAATATCTCAGAGAAAAAGATTGAAGGTTTAAGTGTTATCCTCTTAACAGATATTATTTAACATTTTGGCTTTCTTCTTATGAGGGACAGCATGTAGACAAAGAAATGCTAGGGTAAATTCTTATATTACCAGCAAGTGGACAACAAAGGTAAAATGGAAAATACTATCTGCCAAACAAAGCTGGTCCTCCTAGGTTCATGCTTCTGGGTAAGGCAGGCTCTATTGCCTGTCCCTCCTAACCTTCTTTTATTTTGGTGAATTAGTGCTTTTCTCATTGCTGAAATATCAGTGTTTATCATCTGCTCTGGGAAGCCTTCCCTGACTGTCAGAATCTAGATTCCATGCCTTCTTACTGTCTCTATGCTGACTAGTATCCTAAACTTATTGCACTGTGTCAGATGCATCTGTTTCTGTGTTTGAATTGCTCCACAAGATTGGGAGTTCCTGAGGAGCTGGTAATGTGGCTTTTATTTTTACCTTCAGAATATGAAGGGTCAGAAACATTGCAGGTTGTTCAAAGGTTTCATGAATGATTAAAGGACGTTCCATTACTCTATGTATTACTTCCTGCTAATATCTCCATGACTCTTTCTTTATCTCATATTCTTCCTTCCCTCTTCACTTGGGCAGCCTGCTTGAACTCTTTCTCCAGTCAACTTTCTCAGGAAGGGGAAGTGCTAGTATGGCTCCTTGTCGTGGCTTTAGTCTTCTGGTTATGGTGATATTCTAAAATTCCAAAAAAATAAAAAACCTCTGGGTCTTTTGGATGAAAAAAACAAAGGATTTATTCTGGCCAGGGCCAAAGGAGCAGAAAGCAGACAGTTCTGCAGCCCAAGACCCTGAATGCAGGTGGAGGGTCCATTTAAACAGAAAAAAAAAAAAAAACCACAAAGAAGGGAGCCATAAAAGTCATAAAAGTGGAAAGTACCAACTAACAGAACATTCTGAGAGTTGACACTTCTTATATCTACTCAGAACAGCTCCATAGTTTAAAGACATTGCGGTCAGGGTGCAAGTGGGTGAGGGTGTCAACTTCTGTGCAAAAGTGGGCTCTTATAGGAAGGGGTCCAATTCCCCGTGCAGGGTGAGATGTCTGAGTCGAATGAAGTCAGCCTGGCTTAACTTTCAAATCAGCCCATAATAGTCTAACTAACAATCCCTTTGTGTGCTTCCTGATTCTGGCCAACCTCCACATTAGCCAGCCCGATGCTACCAAATCCAAACCAACACCTTCTGTATGGAAGAAGGATCTGGACCTTAGCAACCTTGATCTTGTGAGTGCTGGTTGAGCAAGTTGATTCCTGTAAAAATCAACTGCCCAATGAGTGAGAAGTTAATGGCAGTAAAGACTGAATTTACCAAGGCCTCCTCTCACGTTGTGTATATATGCAGATAGAAAAAGGCTAGCACACAAGCACTTTGTCTACCTGATGGCTTCCAAAGATGACTACTTAAGTAGTCAGCTGAAATTTTTGATAGCCCTTCATTCAAATGACACCTACTAATAAGCAAGCAGTTACTTTAATAACTCTACCCAGGCCAAGGACAGATCCAGAGGTCTGACTGCTGTCGTTGTCTGATCCAAATGTACCACAGACCACTTATTATAATGGACTTGGATTTAGCCTTGTCCTCTTCTCAAGATTACAGTGATGTAATAGGGTCAGATGTTGCCACTTAGGAGACCAGACCTCACCTCCCACCAAGCAAGAAGAACCCAGACCAGTTAAGAAAGCAAACTATCTGAGTGGTAGTCAAAGAATCAGGGTAGAGTTTAATCACCTGCAATTTCAATGAGAATGAAGAGACATATTGAAAGTTCTAGCTGTGAACAAGGATAATGTTGTCATTGAAGTGAAACAACTGAGCATTTTAAGAAGAAATTAAATGGTCAAGGGGAATAAAAGCAGAAATGAAAAGTTAATAAAATCAAAAGTTTCCTTTGTATATGAAAACCATGAAGCTGTTGGTAACTTTACCAAGAACAGAAATGGTAAAGTGGAAGAGAATTGAAGTCAGAATTCAAGGGGTTGAAGAATTAGCTGGAAATCAGGACCTGAAGGCAGCCAGGAAAAGTTACTCTTCCGTGAGCTTCACTGAGGTAGGAAGGAGTGGAGGGGGCTGAATAATTAAAGGAAGGAGTTCTTGACTGTCTTTTTTTATTTTTTAAGGGTGTAAAAAGCTAGACATTTTTAAAGGCTAAAGGGAAGAAGTGGAGATATGGGAAAAATGGAATGATTAGTGGAGCAGATATTCATAGCAGGTGGCAGGGATGGGTTCAAGGGACCAAATAGAGAGAAGAACTCCACTTGAAGAGGATTTTTTACAGAGCTCCTCTGTGAAGGTAAGAAAAGGATGTGTACAAATTCAGACAAGCCTCTGGGTGGATGTATTGGTTAGCTTTCTGTTGCTGTGACCAAAAGTCCTGACAAGAACAATGTAGCCAACCATTCAGTTCATGGTCAGCTGACTCTAGTGCTCTGGGCAGAAGAGGTGGTGAAGGAAGGCTGCTCAGCTTCTGGTAGGCAGGAAGGGTGGGGAGAAGGAGAGGAGAGAGGGGACAGGGAGAGAGGGAAAGAAGAAGGAGGTTGGGGGAGGGAGAGAGAGAAAGCAAACCAGGCACCAGAAACAAAATATAAATCCCAAAGGCACGACCCCAGTGACCTACTTCCTCCAACCACACCCTATCTGTCCACAGTTCAGAGAGTGCAGTAGTCCTTTGAAGTTATTAATCCATCAAATGGATTAATCCACTGATTAGGTTATAGCTCTCATATTCTAATCATTTCAGTTCTGAACATTCCTTCATTAACACATGAGCTTTTTGCAGAGGGTGGGAAGCAAAGGCTTATATCTAAACCATAACCATGAAGCAGCAAAAAGTTGATGAATTCAACATATAACAGTCTTTATTTTCTCCCTGAAGGACAAGGTAAGGTCATCTTCTGAGAGTGCTGGGGACAAGAAGTAGGTAGAGCATTTGAAGGGATTGAGGAAGATTTAGAATGAAAGAAGATATTGACCAAGAGTCAAGGTTCACATTTTCATTTACCTTCTTTACGAGGTATACAAACAGAATTTAGCACTAGCATTGGTAACTTTAAATTTTGGAAAATTCTAGGTAGCCATAAGAAGAACTACATATTACATGTGAACCTTCCATGCTTGCATTATAGTTGGAGGAAATAAAGAATTCAACTTCTAACTGGGAGTATACTGCCTATGTCTAGAACCAGATTTAGGTCTTCCAGAACTCTTTAAAAGTGAATATAAACATAATTTTCCCATATAGGTATATGAAAACAACAAAATGAATCTCACTATTTTGTATATCCACAAGAATGGCATCCTAACTACTAGAATAAGATCTATTTCATGCTTGCATAATATATAAAAAATGGATTCTGCTGTCATATATAAATAAAAATTAAAAAAAAAAAAGAAAATGAAGAGAATAAATATAAAAGGCCAGGTGTGGTCTTGCACACCTATAATCCCAGCAACTCAGGAGGCTGAGGCAGATCACAAATTCAAAGCCAGCCTCAGTAACTAAGTGAGGCCTTCAGCAAATTAGAAAGACCCTGTGTTAAAATAAAAAATAAAAAGGACTGGGGATGTTGCTCAGTGGTTAAGTGTCCCTGGGTTCAATCTCTAGTACAAAACAAACAAACAAACAAAAAATGTAAATATAAAATATCATAAATATCAGCTTTTTTTTTAAAACCAGGACAAGTCTTGAAAATGTGGGGAGGGTGCTGCTGCCATGGATGAAATTCTAGAATCTGTATGTTTGGTATTTGTGGTCAAGAACCAAACATGTTCTTTTCCATCCATCTGTTCCTTTCTTTTGAGCTACTTGGAGTCCCTAGAGTCTTGAGCTCTTTTGGAAAGTTGGTAGTTACTGATTAGGTTGCTTTTCCCTCTCTGAGTTCAGGGTTCATGGTGTCCTCACTCAGAGCAATGAACTCCCTCAAGTAGTTCACCGCAAAAGTAACACAGTTAAATTGACTGAGATTTCAGTGACCTTTCCTTTCTTTTTTTTCTTTCTTCTTCCTCCTCCTCCTTCTTCTTCTTCTTTTTTTTTTTTTTTTTTTTTTTTTTTGGTCCGACAGAATAAAGGTCTAAGAATGTTCAGAAGATGAGCTGGATGTGGATGAAAAGATACAGACTGAGTGTGTCAAAGTTTCCATTAGGAAAACAGAAGATTTCTTGCCAAATAGAAACACACAGAAAGAATGTTCACTGCATTTCACCCCTCCCCGCTCACTGTGGCCTCAGACTCTTGCCAGCTCCATTTACAAACTCTCTAAGAGCACGTCTGAAACAGTACCCCATAAATGAGGGAAGAGGAGGAAGATTCCCCAACAAAACCCTGTGTCAGAATCGAGTGTTCCATGTTCATCTCAAACGCAGTCCTTAGGCCATGCTCCAACTGGCCTTGTCTCTGGTCTCTCTCTCACCCCGAGTCCAACAGGGCGAAAAACCTGTGTCCAGCCTCCTGAACATGCTGGGCTTTCTCGTTTCTATGCTTTTGCTCTTGTTGTTCCTGCTCCTTAGAATGCTTGGTTCACCTAAAAACATTCAGCTCATCCCCTAAAACCACGCGCAGGCCATCTTTCAGTCCTTTGGGAAACCTGGCCAAACACTCTGTCCCCTCCTCCTCCCCATTCCCCACTTCTTGAATATTCTGCTCTGTAGGGGTCATCTGCTTCCTTTGTGTCCACGTGGCATTTTCTTCATTATAACTAGATACTGTGCTTCACCATATTTACTGTTGAATACTCTTTTCCTCCTTCATTACACTGGGGACTCCTCTAGGAAGGAGGGGTGCATCTTGTTGATATGCATGTGCCCAAAGTTTAGCATAATGTCTCGCTTAGAGTCCTGCTTGCTAAATGTTTCTGAATGGACAGATGAACATTTGCCTAATATATACTTAGCAAATACAGAAAGAATGAGGCTCGCATGGATATGTATGGTTCACATCCACTATCTCAATAAATCCTATTATCTTATGAGACCCTGTGCCTAATAGTTATTCAGTATTTGCATTCCTCAGAGGATCACCTGGAGGGTCAATGTGTCCTTCACAGTGCTTAGCCCACACTATGTGTTGCCATTCAGCCCAGCAGTGTGCCTATTGTCAAGGTCAAAGCTACATAACTAAAAGTGAAGCAATTATTTGGTTCTGATTGCCAAATCCTTGGTATTTGTAGATCAGATGTTCTGTCTGACTAAATTATCTATTTGATTTGGCATATTAGAATGAGATTGACTGGAGAAGTATCAAGTATCTACTTTATATGGGTTTATATGGATTGTGGGCCATTTGAACACCCCACTCAGGAGTTCTTTGTTCTTTGATACAACTGATGGTTTATTAAAAAGTTGTGCTATTTTATTTGAAGATTTTTGGGGGGATTGGGGCCCTCTTTTACCAAACAGGAATCACTATCAGGTTGTCAGACAAAATTTGGCTCTTCTTTGCAAAAGGGTTATATAAGACAAGCCATACCCACAGAGTGAATAAACTGCATTTGATTTGGCCTTTCCCCTAGTTTCAATCCAGTGATTTTCCAGCTTTCATTGTTTCTGTTATTCAGGGGAAATAACTGCAAAATGAAAAGACACTTTTGGAATTTAGATAGGAGGTTCTGTGAGATAGTAGCTCAAACGTTCAAAGAGATAAAGCTTTTTTTTATTAGCAGTTTCACTTATAAAGCATGTTTCATTTATAAAACACTTATAAATTGGTCTATTTTATAAGCACAGAGGCTGGGGATAAAACTCAGTAGGTAGAGTGCTCACCCAGTATGCATGAAGCCCTGGGATCAATCCCCTAACACCACCAGAAAAATATTAATTTCTTTTTTTTTGCACAAGATTTGGTGATTTTGTTGAGCACTAAGAATGAACAAACTTAACTTGTCCGGGATAAATATCCAAACTATATGGATTATAGAACCCCTTAAGTACCCGAGACCAAGATCTCCTTTTATGCAGTGACCTTCCTTACAAATAGTTTAGAACTTTGGGTTGCACATATCTTAACTAACAGGAACATTTGCCATCTGCAAGACCCCTCCTCCTCTACGTCTTGCCACCCCACTTTCCTTCTTTAGTTCCTAGTAACACCAGGCAAAAAAAAAAAAATTGAAACTATCTATTCACCTGTTCCAAATGCAGAGCTTCCTGTCTTCCCTGGTTCTCACCCAGCACCATTCACTCAACTCTAGTCATGTCATTTGGAAGATTAAAATAAATGTCATAAAAGAAGGCAGAATATATTGCATTTCTCTACCACTTATTAAAGTTTTCATAGGGCCCTTACCACATAGGTCATGCCTTATTTTCCTGGCCACAATAATTAGGTGGAAATTCATGAAATGATGTTTAATGAAAATTTGTCATCAGAAAGACTCCTTTCCTAGGAGGGGTGTGAAAACCAAGCAAACACTTGGCCTCCGTGCCTCTACTAACAATGCAGCAGAGCGGCAGCAGCTGGTCTTTATTTTGAAGTGGGAGTCCATTTACCAATCATCCTATCCTCTCAGTTTGTCACTGTTTTGAGTAAATTGTGTAGTAGTAAGTGTGACTGTTTTTTATTACTTCTTCTGTTGTGTGGCTAACATCATAATATTTTTGTTTTCTGCAGGCATGAAACCAGATTTAAGCAACGTATGCTGGAACTGACGGACACAAACAACATTGCCTACTTATTTCTCTCAGCTGCCAACAGATGGCTGGAGGTCAGGACGGTACGTTCATTTCATGATTTCGAAATGGAAACCAAGCCGAGGAGTCCTGATGCAGAGAGGCAGACAGTTGTAAAAATTAGTCTTCCACTGAGATTCAGTGCTAGCCTCACATTTTCTGGACTTTAAAATAGCTCAGGTTTGTTTATGTTACAGATGAAATTTGTCATAATGTTTTAGCTAATGGCAAGACAAATAGCCCGAAAAGCAAAAAATTCATTTTGTGTTCATTATGGTCTCTGGACTACATAGGTTAATGGAATGGCAAATATTTATATAACTGCCATTTTTTTTAAAGAACAAATTTGGTAAGTGTCCATATGTATTCATTTCTTTCACTGAGTGGGATAGACCTGGAAGAGATGCAGCTTTCTATGTTTTAAGCTAGTGGAGGATCATATTAGCCCAAAATTTAAAAAAATTAAAAAATAACTTTAATTAGTCATCTACTGCTTTCTCCTGTTTGATGTAAAAAAGCAAGCACAAATTTTGACCCTACACAGACTTGGTCCAGCAAATGAATTTATTTGAGTCCCAGTTCCTCATCTATAAAACAGGAATAAGAATATATACCTCATGGGAGTATTAGGATTGAAAATAATAAATATGCCCTTATATGCTGATTATCAAAGGCACTAAAAATGTCTTCCGAATGGAAAGATGAATGAATGGAGATAGTATTTACCCTGGTAAGTGTTTCATAAACTAATCAGCTAAAGGATGAAGTAGGAGAAAGTTGAGATAGTTGTTCTGGAGAAGAAGGAACACAGTCTGCACACTACTCTGTGAGATTTGCAGCATGAATAAGTGACTTTTGGAGTAATGATGACATTAGATGGTGTTTTCTTATGGTTAACTCTCAGTTTTATTCTGTTGGAAGAACCTTACTCCAATGGATTGTCTCCACCCATGCAGACTTTATTTTTTTATTGCTGCATTATAATTATACATAATAGTGGGATTCATGATGGCATATTTGTACATGCACAAAACAGTCTGATTGTCCTCATTCCCCAGGAGCTTCCCTTTCTGTCCCTTCCTCTTTCTCCCATCTACTTGTTCTACTCTATGATTTCCTTTCTTTATTATTATTGTTACTTTAATTAGGGCGTCATAATTGTACATGTACAATTATAATTGTGGAATTTTGTGGCATATTCATATGTAGCCATTCATTTAAAACTCAATAATCAGAGAGGACAGATGAAAATAGGAATTTTATAGCATTGAAATGAAGTGTCCAAGTTAAAACCAGAGCTGTTGATTGGTGGATATGGATTGATATGGCATCTTGGTTGCTTTTTTTTTTTTTACATGTGTGTGCTTTAGTTATGATTTCTCAGTGGTTTACGGAGATTATCCACCCACTATTATTAGTTATTATGCAGAAACTATTCAGCAATATAACACAATTATATCTCCCAAGTTTTTGAAAGAAGCATTGGTTGTTGATAAAAAATTCCTTCCAGGTGACAGTGAAGGCAGATAGCAAGTTGCATAAGATCTGTAACAAAACCAAAACATTTTTTCTAGACTCCATCCAATCCATAAATCTTTACTTTAAACTTCTGTTTGTTGTATCTTTTTCAAATTTGCATTTTTCTCTAAGGGAAAACATTGTATCTGAATAATAGAATTAGCAATGGAATAGCTAAATGAAAGAATGTTGCAGAATCATAAGGGGGAAATGGTAATATTTGCCCATGTGTTTGATTTTCCTCCACTTGAAGATCAAGCGTGTCTTTTAGGGGGCGAGTGCATTTACTTTGGACTTGAGGTGCAGTGCGTGTCCGCCTGTGACTCCTGTTTCTGCTCTTTAGCACTTCCTACTGTCAGGTTCATGGACAAGTGTTGAACAAGAATCTTCAAGCAAACCATATGTTCAGTTCTCATAGCCAAAACACAAGACTTTGGAGCCTTAAGGCTGCCAAGAAAGGGAAGGTCAGGACAAATTAGAAAGGAACAGCAGCCAAGCTCAAAGTGGTTTCATTTGACCCAATACTTTAACCCCCACATGGAAAAGTTGCTAAACACACCTGTACTGACATTTTAAACAGGAAGAGCAGAATCTGCCATTCATGCCATTATTTTATAGTACATTTGTTATTTTACTTTCTCTGTGCTGTGTAATTATGATCCTTCCAAGATTTGCTAAACTAGTCTCACTGCTAGATCCCTCCTTTAAAAATTAATACAAGCTGGGCACGATGGCACCCACCTGTAATCCCAGTGGCCCAGGAGGCTGAGGCAGGAGGATCGCAAATTCAAAGCCAGCCTCAACAACAGCAAGGCACTAAGAAACTCAGTGAGACCCTATTTCTAAATAAAATACAATATCGGGCTGGGGATGTGGCTCAGTGGTCAGGTGCCTCTGAGTTCAATCCCTGGTACCAAAAAAAAAAAAAATACAAAACAATAAAGATAATTCACTCCTGAGTTTTGGTATCCTCCTCAAATTAAAACATCTTTTGCTTCTGTTTCGGACAGGTAAAGGGGAATTTTGGTAGAAACTTTTGTTTGTTTACTGCAAAGTTCCAGACACATCCATTACACTTAAGTGTCAATATGTTTATGTGGATATGTACATGCACACCACACACAACCCTCTAGACAACTCCAGAGATCCAACATAAGACCAGTTGGCTTCCCTCTCGTTTTATTCTTCTGAGTACACTGAACATTTTCATTAAAACCAGATATATTAAAATGCAAGTGCTACCTTCTAAGAATATATGGCACAGTAAGAGCACTGAGTAAATTAAGTAGATGATTTCTGTTGGGAAATCATCTTCCCTTCTAATTGTGTACATATCCATGACCTCATTACTACTATGCTTCTATGGATGTATCCACATCACTGGAGACATAAATTCAGTTGAAATGACTGATCTTTTGTCAGAATTATGAATATTGAGATATAGGACCTTGGAGACTGGGGTGTGAACTATTCTCTGAATGCTGCAGCTGCACGTATCCTGCTGTGTAAGTCATTTTGGGGGAAAAAAAGTAATGAGAACTTCTATTTGACCCCATAAATCAGCCATCAATCTTATTTGCAATATCAACAAACCTTCCCCTTTATATATGTATTATCTATCAATTTTGCATGTCTTTATTACTGTACTATCCTCTGCCATATTACTCAGGAAATTAAAATATCTGCTCGTAGCAAATATTCTTAGAGTTCTTAGAGCAGAAACATGATGAAAATGATACAAGGAGGGTCACTACCTTGAGCATCAAGTGGAAGAGGCAGCAGGATTTCCTGACGCAGATTCTGAGATTTCATAAACTCATATTCAGGGACTCAGAACCTCAATGGAAACAGAAGAAAACATAATTTTACAGCTTGCTGTGACTGTTTTTCTCTTCCCTTTCTCTTCATTTCCAGTTCTAGCTTTTTCAAACTAATGCCCCTGCTATTGACAGAAAATCCTAAAGAGAGAAAAGGAGGGAAACCAGAGCAAAACCAGCACATTGAGTTTGGCAGGGTCTCTGAGCCCCATACAATGTGCGTTTGCTATCATCGTGGTTTTGGTTTGGGTTTGTAAACACGTGACTTTTGCATGGCAATCACAATACATTCTCTTTCTCTGGGTGAAGTTGTCCTCATGGAGGATTCACTCTTGCCTACCATATATATATCCTATTTATTTTGAATTGGGAAAAAATAAGGGCCATAATAACACACTCACATCAACAAAGGACAAAGGTCTAAAAGGATAAAATTATTTGGCTGGTATAAAAGTAGCCAGACAGGGGCCACCCGGGGAGCTTTGGCAGCAGAGGGGACTGTTTTTCCCCCCGGTGCCAAGTGAAGTGATCCTGTGCGATGTGTCGCTGCAGCCTAACCTTTGAATGCTGCCTACGCTCTGGTTCAGCACAGCGTTCCTCTGCACTAAACAATTCCAGTTCTTTGGCACCAGTGTTTCCACTTGCAAAAGTTGTGTAATTCTATTTCAAGGCTGTCTTTCCAAGGCTTTGTCTTGCTGTGTGGTGAAAGGATAAAAGAAAATTCACATCAGGAAGCCAAAAAGAAAAAAAAATAATAATAAGGGGATTGGAATCCACATGCTAACGTGAAAATAGTCTTCAGGGTGAACTTGCACAAGAGCATACTTTGTGAAATAGCACAGAGCTTTTTGTGTGTTCACAACTCCACAGTAAACAGGTGTGAAGTGATCTTTTAATTTGGAGGAAATATATTCTCCTCCACCTGCAGTGGTGCCATAGATATACTCCTGAGGGGTATAGGGAGGAAATAGATCATATACATTTTGGCTACTGTTAACTTTTTGCAAGTCTGTTTTATAGAGATTTAGAATTCTCATTATAATCCCACATATAGACTGAATCACTTATTAGGAACCTGACGAGAGGCTTCTCTTTTGACATGGAAATCCAAGGCTTCTATTCTGGGGGAGAGTGTTGGATTCATAAAATTGATAGAAGTTATAATTTAGCAATATACAAGTAAAATGTCCTATGATTGGGGTTTTTTGGGGGGAGTACTAATGTATTTAGGATTAATATACTAAGTTTCTTAAGTTGAATCTTATGCCATTGTGTCATTTTGACAGATGCTTGTCATTGAATAAATTAGTTAGGCTATGTAAGGTCTTGATAGAAAAAGTGTTGTCCTTTCTAAGTATTTACTGTCCTCTGAGTGAGTTGTTCAGTGTGCCTGCTTCCCATTTCTTAATTTATTGCTCTTAAGCCATTTTTTTGTTTATATATTTGCAGAGAAATAGAAACCATAGGGCTATTTTGAAATTCATTAAACTTGTTAACACTAAAGGAAGCAGAAAATTGATAGCTAGTGTAAGTTTTTATATTATCTCTCAATTTCATATTTATATACCACTGTACTATTTGAAGGGGAGTAATTAAAATTTAGTGATTATGCTATGAAATTTTCTTGTTAAAAGTTGTGCACAAAGGAGTTTTGTCCCTTACACAGATCAAGATAAAATTCTGATCAAATGCTTCCCCCAAAATTCCAATTCCTTAGAAAACACATTTTTGTGCAGTAGTAATAATATAGAAGTGAGCTGGAAAATAGTATTAATTAAATGACATTGTGAACAGTACTTTCTAAAAAAGAGCATAAAAGGAATATTTAATGATAAATAATTTTGTTACAGATCCTAGTGATATATTAGCTTTCAAGTTATATCTATTTGAATCTGACTATAAATTTTGATCATGGGTTCATCTGAAAATTTGCCTATAAAATGTACCTCAAAAAGCTATGCCTTCTTTTTACTGAAGTCTCAAAAACATTATCTCTATAATATCTTTACATATGAATTGGAGACTCGTTAATTACTGAACTAATAATGCCTAGTCGTAACACTGACAAATTTCACAGGTCATTTTGAAAACATTAGCTATGTGGAAGCAGACCAGAAAATATATGACTATAATGTATTGATCAGCCTTCTCCCTTTACTTCCTTATTCTTGTTTCACTTCTCTTTCTGAATCTTTTCCCAGAGTAAGACTCTATGTGTTCCCAGAAGTTATTTTAATTCAAGAAAAAGTAATTAAAATTGTCATCTAGTCGAATCTGCCATTTAGTTCTATGCTGCATGTGAATCCAGGAGCCCAAGATAGAATACAGAGTTTTCTGTATTAAACTAAATTGAGAGAGAGTGTGTGTCTCTCTGTGTGTAATGTTTTACATTTCCTTTGTCCTATTAATATTGGGTCTATGGCTTAATTTTCATTTATATAGACTCAGTGATTATTTTGTTGCTTAAGTATCTCATATGTGGCCCTGTTCTATTTTAGCCCTGTTCTTATCTGCTCTCTGTAATGAATACAGCAACACAGCAATTTATGAGCCTCCCAATTGAAATAATAAAAAATAATAATGATTTGGAATTGAATGGTCAAGTAAGAGTGGTTTTCACTTTAGGAAAGCAAAGAACCCCTAACCCTTATGCCTGGCAAAGCTTAGTAGGAGATGGTCATAGCACAGTTCAAAATGGGGGCAAAAAGTTCATAAAACTTGGTGTAGGATTCCTTACTTCATCAAATATGCATTCTTGTAGTAGCTTTCCATGTTCAACTCTAAAAATTGGGAAAAGAAGCTGGTAGAGAATTCAATGATTCACAGGATCTCTAAAAGCAAAGATGTTTGATGTCCTAATTTAGAAGATATTCGAGTCATAGAAATACTCAGTAAATGTTTTATGAAGAGGTGAATGTACCCAATCATTTCTTCCATAAAGAACCTCTAGACCTTTACAATGTACTTAGAATAGAAACTGATAGACCAAGTGCCTTGCTCTTGCTAGATATAAAAAATGGAAAATATTGAAAGACCCTGTCCTTATGGAACTTTGATTCTAGTGAGAGTAGTAGACAAAGAACTTTTAAATAAATAAGCAAATAAGATCATTTCAGGTGTCTCTAAGTTTTTTGAGGAAAGTAAAACAGGGCAGTGAGATAGAGAACAGCTCTAGGGCTGGAGTTGGGGGCCAAGAAAGGAAGGCCTCTCCGAAGAGTTGACATTTGATTGACACTTTAACAGTGAGTAGAAGCCAGGTGTCAGCGACCTGCGGACAAACATTCAAGGAAGCCATTAGCAGCAATAAAGTCGGTGTACCTCCAAGAACAGGAAACAGCCAGTGAGGTTGAAGCATGAAAGGAATCTCAGACAGGGTCTGAGTAAGCAGGACATAGAATTCATACTTTATGTCATGTAAAGCTTTGTAATCCATCAGAGTTTGAAGTTATTATAGGTGCTGTAGGAAGGCATTGATAGTTCTATAGAGAGAAGCTATATTATCTGACTTACACTTTTAGAAGAATATCTGAATGAATGAGTGAGGCTGTTCTTCCCAAAGAAGTCAACGCAAAAATCAGAGAATAGAAATTGATAACAAAGAGCCTTGCTCCTAACATTTAATGCATACATCCTCACAGAAATTTCTCAGGAGCTGAGTAATGTGTTTCTTTACAATACTGCTAGGAATACCTTGTTGTAAATATCCTCTTGTACTCATTTACTTTTTACAAATTATAGCCAAAAAATTCTTATGAGTATTTTTGGGAAAGATAATATGTAAATAACAAATGTATCACATGATTTTGAAAGTATGCACTTTACATGAGGGCTAAGAAGGAAAAAAAATCATTGCTGCAAATGTTTTAGAAGTATTTTGGGGCTCATACTGACATTTATAAACCATGAAAAAATAATCCAGACTGGTTAGATTTTGCCTCCATCCAGTTATTGCTTCGAATAAAGGGGAAAAGAAGAAGAACTGTCTGATTAGAATGTGGTAAATCCTTAGCAATGACTACATCAAAAGAAGTGAAGGAGTATTTACTACCTTTGTGGAACTCTTTATCTCAAGGGATGAACTCTACATGATTAATTTTTTTAATCCTTTATAACAATTATGGGAATCAATATAGAATTAAATGTTAGTGCCTCTTTTGATCTTTGATGTATTATGGTGGATGCACATGTTTAAGCTGGCTTCAAATGTTTGAAAATCATTCAGGAGAAGAAAGACATCTGATGAATGGAGATGAGGAAATCTAGCTGGTACTTAACTTATTTATTCTTTTAAAATCCCTGTGAATTAGGCACTATTTATATTTTTTGAAGAAAAATTGAGAATCAAGGGGGTTTAAATTACTTGTCTGAGTCCACTAGCTAGTAACTGGCAAAGCCAACATTTGAACCCAGGTTTGGATTCCAAGGCTGAGATACTGTTTTCTCTCCAACAGCTTGATCTTTGGAACTCTTTTTTCAAAGAGTCAACAATGCACATGTGTGAACTGATTGGAGAAGTTTCATTCATTTATTTCAGCACATTAAACATTCCATTACTGTTAATAAAGTCTTATCACCAAGTTGCTAGTTTTTTTGTTTTGTTTTGTTTTGTTTTTGAGATCACAGATATGTCAAGCTGGAGAAGGGGTTCATCAGTGGGGTGAAACTTGAGATTATTCTAGGGAATCCAAGTCTGAAATTCTACCTGCTTCTGGGACTTGTGACACATCAGCATGAGAAGTTTTTTGGATTTATTTTTCAAACAAGAGGACAGACCAATACCTAAGAAGATTGGGAAATGGGGAATGAAGAGATTGTTAGGAAATAAACACATGTCTGCTGACTCCCATTTGAGTCTAAGGTTGACCTTCGTGAATTTTTAAAGTTTTGCAAGAGAGTTTATCATTGAATAATGGAAAATTTAGATAGTCTGAGACATGTGCATACTTTATGAGCACATATAGCATTTATTCTCATTTACATAGATCAGCAAATCTAATGTCCCAGACTCTGAGCACAGTTGGCAAAAAGTCCAGATACAGTTGCCAACAAGTTAAATAGAGGGACATTTCTGCAAGGATCTCGCTCTACCACACAGAGAAGCTATTGCAATCCCGACAAAAGCACATGTGAAATATAAGCCAGAAAATCAGGTCCAAAAATGTGGCTTGTCTGGCAACACAATGTATATAAATGTGGGGTGAGGGCAAGGTTTTGTTTCTGACACCAATTGCAGCTTAACTTCTGAGAAGGTAAAAGGTATTTAACTTCTGCAAACTCCTATCTTATATAATGAGAGTGTGGCACCACTCTCCTTTCCATTTGTAATATTTCAAGCTCTCGTTATTCCATATCTTAGGTATCCTTCCTCTGAAATGTAACAGAACACACATGGTGATCACCTTAGTTGAGATTTTTGGTTTAAGAACTTGGGAATAATTTTGTGACTTTTTGCTTGCTCTTTTTCAGGATTACCTGGGAGCTTGCATTGTCCTTACTGCATCTATTGCTTCCATTAGTGGGTCGTCCAATTCTGGATTGGTGGGCTTGGGTCTCCTCTATGCACTTACGGTAGGTATGAATATGAATGGAAATATCTCTTTCGGTGCAGCACTGGAGGAAGATTCTGTAGTTATTGCCAACTCTTATTCATGGACATAAGAAGATAAGTTTGAAATAGATAACAAAATGACATCTTACAAAGAATGATAGTTTGGAACCCAAATCTAACATTTTAGACAGGTTGGCTCCATTTTTGAAATTGCAAACTGATTTTTAAAAGCTTCTCAAGTTCTATGATGAGTGTTCTTCATGTTGCTTGAGACCCCTATCCTAAGTTGTTCACAGTCCAGTTGGGGACACTAAAATGAGTGTGGAAATAAATGAGATTCATGCAAACAGTAATGTATACAATTACCCACTGTGCGGGGATGTCAGAAGACAGTTCACAGAACAGTGACAAAGGAGAACCTTGAAGAAGAGCAGACATCTTCTTTGCCAACATCTCCCATGATGTCCTCCCTGGTCTCTGATGACTTACATCAAGTACAGATTATACCACATGATGAACACCAGCATCTAAGTCATCCAATCCCCAAATATCCTATAAATATGAAAATTGTTTACCTTAATTTTAAATATGTGAATTTTTTGTCACCTGACACAGATTACCAATTATTTGAACTGGGTTGTGAGGAATTTGGCTGACCTGGAGGTGCAGATGGGTGCAGTCAAGAAAGTGAACAGCTTCTTGAGTATGGAGTCTGAGAACTATGAAGGCACCATGGGTATTGTTTTTCGATTAAATATTATTTTAAGCAAATATTGCATGTGTGTCAGACATACTGTTGTTTAGCTTTTGTTTACCACTTTAATATTCTTATCTTGATTTTGCTTGATTGAACACCTGAAAAGAGGACTGTTTAGACCTGAAAAGTCTTGGGCTCAATTAGAGTCCAAGCAGACGTTATTTTATAATATTTAAAGAGTTGTAAAAATATTGGGGCTTTATTGCATTAATTGCCAATCTAAACTACGACGAGTTCTTGAATTTTCTTCCTTAAGACCTTTTTAACTTAGAAGTCAAGAAACTTAGATCTTAAAATACTAAATGAGATTCTCAATTCTGTTGGAATAAAACTGGCAGGAAATTCAATACTGAGAACAGAATAATCTTTATTAAATGCAAATCTCAAACTTAAAATGCATATCTTTGTCTAAATCCTTCCATGACTTTATAGCTCTCCAAGGACAAACCTAGATAACTTAGCTAAGACCACCAGACCCTGCATGAGTTCACCCTCGCCCACCAACCTAGTCTCACTTCTCATTGTCACCTGCACCACTTCTACTCTGGCCCCACTAGCATGCTATGCTTCCTCTTCATCTTTTTTCTTTTCTCTTAGACATATTTGAACAGAGTTCCCCATCTCTTATCCTCTAAGATTCTTATCTTCTTGGAGCCTCCTGGAATGCTCAGATCGCCACCATCTGTGCTCCCAATGTGCCTTTGGTTTCCCTGCACCATGTGGCTCTCCATATAATAGTGTAAATGTGCCTCATGTTCCTCCCCAGGACACAGAAGGCAATTTAAGCCATGTCTTTCATCTTCATATCCAGCACCATGCACAGCACTCTCACATTTTTTTAAATTTAAATTTAAATTTTTTTTAGTCATACATGACAGCAGAATGCATTTTGACATATAATACATACATGGAATGTACATACATCAATCATATTGTCTATTCTATTCTGCTGCCCTTCCTATCCCCCCTACTCCTCCCCTCCTCTCCCATTCTTTCTCTCTATCCAATCTAATGTGACACACTTTTTTTTTCTTTTTCTCATTACAACATCATAAATGTATTCTGTATAACAATGAGGTTCTCCTTCCATCTTCCATGCAACTCCCCTTCTCCCTCTTTTTCCCTCCCACCTCTCTTCCCTATTTAGTGATAGTTTTCTTCTCATGCTCTTCCTCCCTATCCCATTTTGAGTCACCCCCCTTATATCAGAGAAGACATTCGGCATTTGTTTTTTAGGGATTGGCTAACTTCACTTAGCATAATCTGCTCTAATGCCATCCATTTGCCCGCAAATGCCATAATCTTGTTATTTTTTAGTGCTGAGTAATATTCCATTGTGTATAAATGCCACATTTTTTAATCCATTCATCTATTGAAGGGCATCTAGGTTGGTTCCACTAGGTTGGTTCTAGCTATTGTGAATTGTGCTGCTATAAACATTAATGTGGCTGTGTCCCTGTAGTATGCTCTTTTTAGGTCTTTTGGGTATAGTCCGAGAAGGGGAATAGCTGGGTCAAATGGTGGTTCCATTCCCAGCTTTCCACGGAATCTCCATACTGCTTTCCAAATTGGCTGCACCAATTTGCAGTCCCACCAGCAATGTATGAGTGTACCTTTTTCCCTGCATCCTCACCAGCACTTATTGTTGTTTGACTTCATAATGGCTGCCATTCTTACATTTTAAGCACTCCTATGTTTGATGATTAAGTAACTGAACAAATAAATCAGTTCAAAAATAATCTCTCTGTATTCACTGTGAATAGAATCGAATGATGAAAGACTGAAGAGCCATGATCCTAGTTAATGCCCTAAAAACAAACACATAAAAAATTTTAAAGTTCTTAACCAAGACATGTTTACTTCCAATGTGACTTAATTTTTTTAAAAAAAAACATAAACTATTATAGATTTGGATTCAATATTATTTTAAGTTTAGGAAAGATCGTATATATTAAAATCATTATTAAAATTGCATATAGACAGGCCAGGCGTGGTGGGACACACATGTAATCCCAGCGGCTTAGGAGGTGAGGCAGGAGGATCATGAGTTCAAAGCTAGCCTCAGCAATGGCAAGGCACTAAGCAGCTCAATGAGACCCTGTCTAAATAAAATACAAATAGGGCTGGGGCTGTGGCTCCGTGGTCGAGTGCCCCTGAGTTCAATCCCCAGTACCAAAAAAAAAAAAATTTGCATATAGACATATTTAAGCATGTGTATGTTTCTCCATATATCTCTATTTACCTATTATCTATCTGTCCTTCCAACCCCTAGATCCTTCTCAAGTTCCAGAACATTGGCCACAGGAAGGAGAGATCAAGATTCATGATCTGTGTGTCAGATATGAAAACAATCTGAAGCCTGTTCTTAAACATGTCAAGGCTTACATCAAACCTGGGCAAAAGGTATGGAATTCAATGCTATTTGATTTGTTTTATACATTAAAAACGTTGATAAAGCCCATTGTCACTCCTTAAGCTCTTTGAACATTGAAGCCTAGTAAATGTAATCTCACTGGACTCTGATCGTATTCCCTGCATGGTGTAGATACAAGAGCCTGTAAAAGGAGAGAGGGAGAGACAGGATCAGAGTACAATACATGTTCTCTAGGTCAGATTGCCATTCATTCATCTCCCATGAAAATCAGAAATGTTAACAGTAGGTGTTTTGTTTAAAATCTATGGCTTCTGGCTATGACCATATCAGACATTTCCTTGGGAACCTTTGCCAAGGAAAAGGTCTTGCTCTAGTCCCCAAATGACCTCTTTCAGTATTGTAAAAAGAATAAATGTTCGGGGGGAAAAAATGGACTCATTCTACTTTTTGTTATAAACTCATCATTTCTAAGATAGAATAAAATGACATGCTATATGCAAAAATTGCACCATGAAGGAAAAACAGTACAGCCATGTGGAAAGGAAAAGAGTTTGAATGTATTCATTGAGGGTCGGGTGAGGACTTCATGCTTTTATTTTAATAATGATAGCTCATAAGATCTAAGGAGAAAATGAGATTGTAATGTAACTACTCAAATAGTCTGTGTTTTTGTCATATCCTCTCTAAGCCAATTATACTTTTGTCCACTTTCTGTTCTTTCTCTGAGTTCTCTTCTCCTTGAGTGACAGTTGTTTTTTCAGGTGGGCATATGTGGTCGCACTGGCAGTGGAAAGTCTTCCTTATCGCTGGCTTTCTTCAGAATGGTTGATATATTTGATGGTAAGTTGTCAATTAATTTTTTAAATCAGTTACATGGTGCTTTCCTTTCAAAAACATTTTCAAGTTACCTAATTCTGCAAAAATAAAAAGCAAATATTTATAAGGACTTTGTGCCCTCACGTGGTTCAAAGCAGATGTCCCAAATAAATAACCCAAAGATAAAGCAAGAACATAGAATTGGGAAAATGATTAGCCCTAAGCTAAAGTGTAGAGATTGCTGCTAAAGAGTTCTAATGAATTGGTAAAATGAAGATGGCTGTCCACTTTGAAGAGCAGTAGATGTAGGTTGCATTTGAAGAGGAAGAAAGATGGAAATGTTGTCTTGCTTTCCTCAAACTAAAAATATATGTTTTTCCATCAAAGAAAGAAATTTTAAAGGAAATAAACAATGTGTATTTTAAATTTTGGTGCATGACTTGTGCCCTCATCTTCTGAGTAACATGGATTAATGACGTCAAACATCTTCTGATTAATGACGTCAAACATCTTTGCTATGAAGTGCTGAGTTCATGTAAATAACATACAAAAATATTTATCCATCTACAGTAAGAGCATAGAAATAATTTAATTTAATCTTTATTTTAGAAAAAAAATATATCACACTATTTAGTTTGTCAAGTGGCCTATAAATAGGCCAGCAGAAAAGACATAGAAGACACTTCAAATGAAAGGGAATCTAAGAATGAACTTGACCTTCACCTCAAGGAAGAGCTTACTGTTATTACCTACAATGACTGTGATGACTATAGTACTTTACATTTTTATTGTACTTGAAAGATTATAGTTTTTAATTTCATCTACATGACATAGAAAGATCTGCATATAAACAACAACATTCAACTGTGGTATCTGGAATTGGTAGTGGTGTGTTAAATTCCAGAGCAGGGTAGGCATCCATCCCTGGGTTAGCAGTGTTACAAGACAATTACACGATCAAAAGGCCATTGACTGAAAGTTTTCATAAAAACCTGTGGTTCTGACTGATCGTATTAGGACAGCCTGATGCCCAGGTGTTTAGAACATGATTTCAGGCCCCATGTGAACTCTCAGTGACTTGTTCACTTTTTGGTAGCACTAGGTAATTAATAGTTTAATAAATAACATATTATTCCTGAAAGACACAGGTTAAGCTTCTCACCCTTACCTGCCCTCGAGTCTAAATCTACCAGGTGAAAGGACTGCACCTGCCATTTTGAGCTTAGCATACTTATCTCCCAGGGTGATGTTGTCTTTGCATACAAATGAGATGATAAAATAATTCTATCTAAAGTTGAGGAAAGAAGATCAAGATTGCATAATTTGCAAAAAAAAAAATGATATCTCTATCATAGAACTCACTTTCCTATTTGTAATGCATTGTGCTAGTCAATCCATATAGGAGGGAATGAAGACAAAAAAAAGCTTTGTCTTCAAGAAACTTTTGTTTAAATTTGGAGAGAGACCATTAAAGAAATAAGTGAGTATATAATATTTATACATACACACACACATACACATACACATAAATAATCATATATATATTATATATGGAGAGAGAAAGAGAGAATGAATATGAATATGTCAGATCAGATTCTGGCCAATCCCAAGAAGATAAATCAAGCAAGGAAGGGGGATAAAGGAAGAGTAGAAAAGAAAGGACCCTGAAAGTTATAAAACAATTTTGGGCTTATAAGGCCATATAAACTGAATAAAAACTGAAAATTTCCTTAAGAGAAGTACATATAAGAAAGGGAAACTATTTCCCTTTTCAGAAACATGTCATAATGTTTCCTAAATGGAAAGCTTTATTTTCAGAATTTAATTGGTGCTAGGAAAAAAACCTTTAATTTGTAAACAAATGAAAATTTTACTTGTGAGTTTACCACATGCCTGTAATTTTTGTTTCTCCTTAACAGGAAAGATTGTCATTGATGGGATAGACATTTCTAAACTGCCACTGCATACGCTACGTTCTAGACTTTCTATCATTCTGCAGGATCCAATACTATTCAGCGGTTCTATTAGGTGGGTAACATTGAACAAAAATCTGTGGGCCTTAGTATTCCTCCTTCAGGTCATAGGTTGGTTTTGTTTTGCGAGTTATTTTTCAGGTGGATGTGAAAAAATTATCAAAATGATAAAATCAAATAGGCTGTCCAAAGATTTGAGTTGGGAAATCCTAGAGTTGGTAAATTAACCCATAGAAGCCAAATCCCTGTGTTTCCAAGAGCTCTTTTCTTTTAATTTGATTATAGTTCAGAGGAAAAATTGGTAGCAGTGATTCTTGGAAGACATTTCTTAGGTATTCTAACCTACAAACACCTGCCTAACTCTTGTGTGCCTGGCCTAGCCTCAACTGATAACTCTGAACTTAGTTATTCTCTTTGCTTGTCTCACTATCCTTCACAACCTTACTTTCGGCCACAAACTGATGGGAAGAGGTTGCTACAGTCTTCTTTATTTCTGGATCATGGTTTCACACACACACACACACACACACACACACATACATACAAAATTAAAAAATTTTAAAAAATAAGAACAACAAAAACTGGAAATATTTACTGTTAAGTACTTTAAATATACTTGTCTGATGAAGTTTTCAAAACATTGTTCTAGATTGTTGTTATACCCATTTTACAAAGGAGTATTTTGAAACTCAAAGAAGCTATAACTTGCCCAAGTTCATACACCTAGGAAGTGGTGGAACTGAGATCTCACCTGAAGTTTGCCTGATTTCCAAGCACACCTCCCTGAGATCACATTTGTCATTTCATTCATCCTGTGTTCTTTCTTCTCTGTCATTCATTAATCACAAAGAAGTACTTGCCACCTCCTTTTAATTGTTGTTTATATTGAAGAGAAAATGTATGTAAGATTTCTCAATACTCACCTGTAAAGTTATTTTGATATAAAGTTCTAGATTATCAAGCTGTTTAACAATATCATGGTCAATTTATACCTGAGTGTATTTATTCTGAATAGCACTATTATTGTTAGTGCAGCCCAGCTTATCTAAAGTTGCATATGTTCCCATATTGATTTATGTATTTAGCATCATTTCTTCAGGAATATTAGTAAGACACTAATCAAGTTATACTAAGTGTAATATAGAGTAGGTAAATCCAAGGAACAAAACTAATTGTATTTCAAGTGGCTGACATGTATATGAAAAAATATTCAATATCTATAGTAATCAGGGAAATGCAAACCAAAACTACTTTGAGATGCCATCTCATTCCAGTTAGAATGGCAGTCATCAAGAACACAAATAATAATAAATGCTGGAGAGGATATGGGGGGAAGAACACTTCTACATTGCCGGTGTGATTGTAAATTAGTACCACCACTATGGAAATTAATATGAAGGATCCTCAAAAATCTAGGAATGGAACCACCATATGACCCAGATATATCCACTCCCTGGTATTTATACTAAAAAATTAAAGTTAGCATACTATAGTGATACATGTATACACATGTTTATAGAGACACAATTCACAATAGCCAAATTAAGGAACTATCTTAGGTCATCTGTCTGACAGCAGATGAATAGATGAAGAAAATGTGGGATATATAAACAATGGAGTTTTTATTCAGAAAAAAAAGAAGAATGAAATTATTCATTTGTAGAAAAGTAGATGGAACTTGTGAATTTATTTTAAGTGAAATATTCCAGACTCAGAAAGTCAAGGGTTCTGTTTTCTCTCATATGTAGAAGCTAGAGAAGAAAAAAAAGGGGTGTGTGTCATGAAAATAGAAGGGGGACCAGTAGAGTAGAGGAAAGGGACCAGGATGGAGGAGGAAGGGAGAGAAAAGGAAGGTACTAGGGAATGAAACTGACCAAATCATGTGCATGTATGAATATGTAACAACAAACCCACTCTTGTGTACAATTATAATGCACCAAGAAAAATGATCTTAAAATTAATTGTTATCATGTATGTAAATTTACCTAATGATGTCATCAAAACATTTTTGCTAACCCTAAGTTTATTCATTCATTCATTCATTAAGCATGAATTCAGTGCTTGCTCTATCCTGAGCACTGTTCTAGGTGCTGAATAAAAAGCAGTAACAAAAACACATATGAAAATTGCATTTTAAGGAAAGAGAAGCAATGGGCAAATATATATATTGAAATTTCTCTTTTATTTCATATATTTTTATTATTTTAAACTATTTTTCCCTACAGGTTTAATTTAGACCCAGAATGCAAATGCACAGATGACAGACTCTGGGAGGCTCTAGAAATTGCCCAGCTGAAGAATATGGTCAAATCTCTACCAGGAGGTCTAGGTATATTTTCTAAATTGTAGATTTGCTTTTTCAGTATGCAATTAATTCTGCATGTTAGAATCACATAATTAGTGTTAAATTCTCTCATTCATTAATGCTGAGTATTGAACCCAGGGCCTGTGCATACTATGCACACACTTTACCACTAGGATACACCCCAAGCCCGATGTTAAATCCTCTTATACTTAAAATAATCTACTGAAAGTTATTAGGACATTTTAAAATCTAGTGAGCTATTTTGCATAGAATATAAGAGGATAAACCTTAGAACAAATTCTGTTCCAAGTGAGCAGTCCGAAATATCCCAATTAATATGTTGACCTCTTCAGTCTTCTCATTACCTCCACTTTAACCAGACGTTTTCTTGTGATCATTCCTGTTCAGGACCACTTATCCTCAGAAAACGGATAAGTTATTTCAGAAGCTATTGAGATTCCTTAACACCTCCTAGGAGAAGTTAATTTCCCAGCCATTTTCTTTGCTGCCAACAGGGAATATTAGTTTGATTTACATTACATAATTTTCGTCTTGTTTGAAGACATTATTTTGCGTTATCTTGTTTAGTACGGGTTTGGGCCATTGTTGTGAGGAATGAAACATGTATTCAAATAATCATAGATAAAAACTCAATCCTAGTGGTAGCATAATTTCTAACAAAGAATGATAATGAGATGAAAGAATAACCTGTTAGAGAAACAACAGAGAATTCATATTGTCTCTATAAAACTGAACGCCTATAGTTACAGACTTTTATTTTATTAAATTCTGCACTAATATAGGAAAGCAATAGGAAAATAATAGTTTAGTTTTTTGATATTCTAATTTTAATACACATTATTTAGTTTTCAAGTTGATTGTGTTGTTTGGCATCTAGGTTTTTTGTTGTTGTTTTTAAGGAAGACTTACTGAAAAACAATACATTTTTCTGATTTTAATTAAGTCCTAAATAGAAGCATCCCAAAAACAAAAATTAAGACAGCATGTTTTTTTTTTTTTAGTTGTTGACAGACCTTTATTTTATTCATTTATTTATATGCAGTGCTGAGAATCGAACCCAATGCCTCACATATGCAAGGCAAGTGCTCTACCACTGAGCCACAACCATAGCCAGGACAGTATGTTTTTAAGAAAAGTTTTATTGGCCTTGCTAGTATCAGGTTGCAGGAATAATTTCAAAAATTTGGATGAACTTTCCAATAATAATTCTTGATTATTTGTCCCCACCACCATTAATAGTTGGAAAGACAGGCATTTAAAACCATACAATCCTCTTCACTAACATGAGAGCTGAATGCACCTACTCTAAATTGTGGCCATAGAGCTTGTAGGTTATAGTATGGTGTAAGCAACAAAGGATTATTTTTACACCATATAATTTACTGAACATTGTACTTATTATCTTAATAAAGATGACAACAAGTGCTTAATGAAGATCTGGTTCAGGCCAGCTCTGATAAAGAACATTCATCATCCTGAGAATCATTCTTATTTATTATGTAAATTAAAATTTGATGATTAAATACACAGCTTTCAAGCAGAAGGAGTATAAGAGTTTGATGCATGGGAATAAAATAAATTGACATTTGGCCCAGGACCATACTAAAAAGTGTTTGAATTCTAATAAAAGAGATGTTTTGGAAACAGGATTTTTATTAAATTCATAGTAGCAGTTTATGAAATGTGGATGGAAATGAAAAAAAAAAGAAGTAAAGCACAATGAGACACATTCAGTTATCTGCACAGTGGTATTTTATTCAGCTGCTGTCATCATACTAGAAATATACTGGCCAACAGAAACAAGGCCAGTCCTGTCCACTTGGTGGTTCCAGTCTATGGGAATGGCAGAATGGAAAGAGAACTGGAATTAGTATTGTGTATATTCTGTTTCTTATCAGGTCCTACTATATATTAACTCTGGGTTCAATCCCCAGTATGACAAAAAAGGAAAAGGAAAAGAAAAATAGGCTGACCTACCATCATATTCACTTTCTCAAAGTCAAGTTCCACTTTGCCTTTCAGAAGGAAATACTTACACCAGCACAAAGTGATACCAGCATGATTTATTTTTTAATTGCTTCTTTGTCCATGGAAAATATTAATATAATTTCTTCAATTAAATCTTTGCTTCTTCTTCTGACTTAGATGCAGTTGTCACTGAAGGTGGGGAGAACTTTAGCGTTGGACAGAGACAGCTGTTTTGCCTGGCCAGAGCCTTTGTCCGCAAGAGCAGCATTCTCATTATGGACGAAGCAACTGCTTCCATTGACATGGCCACAGTGAGTGCATATCCAAACTCTGAAAATAATGAATTGGAGGAATGTGCATGAAAATTACATTTTTTGATTGGGTTCTGAATCCTCAATACTGTTGTTTTAAGTGATTCCTCAATCTCTTTAATCCACTGAGAATCATACTGAGATTTATGAGAAATGAGACATTGCGTATACTTTAAAGGAGTTTCCATTGCCATTAAACATAAATAAATTCACCTTTTTTCCTTTTTATAACATTTTAATTTTTTTCAATATTTATTTTTTAGTTGTAGTTGGACACAATACCTTTATTTTACTTATTTATTTTTTTATGTTATGCTGAGAATTGAACCCAGAGTCTCGTGCCTGCAAGGCGAGTGCTCTACCGCTGAGCCACTACCTCAGCCCCACATTTTTATTTTGACATAATTTCAGACATGCAGAAATTTTGTAAGGAAAGGAAAAATAAATTTCAGATACTCTTTACTATATTCCTTATTCATTTTGTTTCATTGCTTAATTATTTTTTGATGTTTAGTTGGTACATAGTAATGGTGTTTGTGTATGGGTTCAATGGTTAATGTGATGCTTTGCTCTGCATATACATTATAGAAAGACTCAATCAACACAATTAACATATTGATAGCCTCAGCAATTTATCATTTTTTGTAGCAAGAATGTAAAAAAATATCTATTTTTGCAGTTTTTAAATATATTGTACATTATGAGTGACCATACTATTCTGCAGCATGATTTGGTTTTGAATTACTTCCTTGTCCAAGTTAAATATTTGCTTGTTCTTTTGACTTACTAAAGTCACCATGCAGTACAATATATCTCTACCACTTAATGATTATTATCAAAAAGACAAGAAATGGCAAGTGTTGGTAAAAATGTGGGGGAAAGGGAATCTTTGTACATTATTGGGTGAATATATAAACTAGTACAGTCATTTTGGAAAGAGTGTAAAGTTTCCTCAAAAACTAAAAATAGCCAGGTGCAGTGATGCATGTTTGTAATCCCAGCAGCTTGAGAGACTGAGGCAGGAGGATCACAAGTTGAAGGTCAATCTCAGCACTGCCGCAGTCCGGCTGCAGCAAAATAACCGGGGGGTGACGAACAACTTGTGTACATTGATACAGCAGGAGTGGAAGCCGTTTATTGTAGGACAGGAGGGGTATATATATATACATTCCACACAGCTTATCTAATTAATATAAACTAGATACAGCAGTCAACCAATACGGAATCTCCACACTTAATGGCTCGCTGGCGTTACTTCACAAACCACTCCCTCTGGCAAAATGCCAGGCGCCATCCAGACTTGTTTACAGACTCTAACACAGCACCTTAGCAAGGACCTTAGCAATTTATTGAGACCCTGTCTAAAAATAAAAAATAAAAAAGTTGGGGATGTGGCTCAGTGGTAAGTGCCCCTGAGTTCAGTCCCTGGTACCAAAAACAAACAAACTCCCTAAAAATAGATCTATCATATGATCCAGCAATCCTTATACTGAATATATATCCAAAGAAATTTAAATCATTATGTCAAAGAAATATCTGCACTCTCATGTTCATTTTGGCATCATCCACAATAGCCAACATATGAACATAACTAAGTGCCCAAGATGATGGGGTAAAGAAAATATGATATATATAGATAATAGAATACTATAAAGTCTTTAAAAAGAAAGAAATTCTGTCATTTGTAACAACATAGATGGAACCAGAGGATGTTATACTAAGTAAAATACTATATGATAACAGGAAGACAAATATGCTATGATCTCACTATATATTCAATATAAAAACATTAATCTTAGCCAAGTGTGGTGGCACACGCCTGTAATCCCAGCAGCTCAGGAGGCTGAGGCAGAAGGAATGAGTTCAAAACCAACCTCAGCAACTGTGAGGCACTAAATAACTCAGTGGGACCCTGTCTCTAAATAAAATACAAAATAGGGCTGGGGATATGGCTCAATGGTCAAGTGCCCCTGAGTTCAATCCCTGGTACCAAAAAATGAAACAAAAAAACATTGATCTCATAGAAACGGAGTAGAAGGCTGTTACTAGAGGCCAGGGGCAAGGGAGAGAAAAGGATGGAGAAATGAAAGACATTAATCAAATCAGTTTAGACTGGAGGAATAAGTTTTAGTGATTTCTTACACTGTATGATACCATCACTTTTTGATAAAATTTCAAATCAGTGTAATTTTAGGGCTTGGCTGATGAGACCTCTGTACAGTGTTCAAGGACTATGCCGTGGATGTTCATTTACAGAATGTAAATCTTTTTTGAATAGGCTATTTATAACCAAAACCAATCATTTTCTGAAGCAATTTGAAGAGAGATCTGCTAGGATTAATAATATCTAGAATTAATAATGGCTTTCTTCATGTGCTCATGGTACAAAGCTAGAAACTTTGCCATTTGAAAGGAATCATTTTAAAAAGTGTCAAATATGTCCAAGAAATACCTGTCTAGAAGGCTGTGATTGAATGAGGGCAGTGTCACATTAAACCAGAGACTATGTATTGAGTTAGCAATTAATGTTATTCTTTTGAAAGTCAACTTGATATTTAAAGTTTGGCATCAGAAAGAGCATCAATTTAAAAAAATCAACAGCCTCAAGTTACTTTCTTGCTGAACACTTTAGATTGAGTGAAACTATCCAGAGAAGTGAAACAACTTCAAGATTAAGAGCCAATAATAGATGGAGATACTATTTCACATGTTTTCTATTAAGACTAATCAAAATTCCTATCCAAAGGTATATAACCTCAAAGTGAACATGATTTAAAGCAATAAAGTAGTCTCTAATGATCCATTTCTCTAAGCACAAGTACATCAAAATTGGTATTAATTATTAAGGATTTAAAATATTGAAGGTTACTATAAAGATAATACTGCCTCTACAGAAAGAGAGAGGGACATGGAGAAAATATGAATTAAGCAGCAGTAAGTCAGTTGATTGGAAGAAAGAACTCCTCCACTGTTAAGATTTAGTTGAATCAAGTTTTCCTCTAGGAGAGAGGTGAAATCTTTACCCAGAACATCTTTTAAAATATTGGGTGGGGTTTGTGGCTCAGTGATAGAGCACTTGCCTGGCATGTGTGAGGCTCTGGGTTTGATCTTCAGCACCATATATAAATAAATAAATAAGTAAATAGAAGATCCATTGACAACTAAAAATATTTTTTAAAAATATAATGATAATGCAGTTTGTTGTGGAAATTAATATAGTTTCTTTCTGATATATTGTATTATAGGTAAAAAATAAAATAAAATTTTGACATGGACTTCAGTTTTTCCATTTTCTGACTCAAAGGTTAACACCATTTGAGGGTTTGGTTAGTTTTGAATACATGAGCATTTTGATACCCAAGAGGTTGAATTTTCCTCTTTGGATTCCCTAGCAATAAATACATCAGTCACTTCAGGTTGATTGCTGAGCTTTACCTGCATTCTGAAGACACCTTCAGAATCCAATATGAGCTGGCTGCTGGGAACTGCTCCCTCCTATCTTCCACAGAAGACCTGGGGACAGAGCACTCTGAAGGGATTGGGCATAATGGGATATTGTTCTTGAGGGCAAGATATTATGGTAAGAGAAAGTAGTCCCAAGAAAATTTACACTTTATTTTTAAAATTCTTTTGCCAGGAAAATATCTTGCAGAAAGTTGTGATGACAGCCTTTGCAGACCGCACTGTTGTCACCATAGCTGTGAGTATGGGAGATGGGGTCACGTACTCCTCCTGAGTTCTTATTCTAAGATTTTATGATCTTTAAACTTGTGCAGTTGAAATGTACTTATGATGAATTATGTATTTCTCTGATGTCTCTGTATCTGTGCAAAAGGAGACAAAATAATATCTATATTTCAAAAACTTTGTTCTTTTCTACACTGTCTGCCCTACCCAGTGCTTCTGAGTTACAGTGAAATCTAAGGATTTCAGCAGGCCATGGCCCGTGCTAATTCTGTTTTCAGTGATCTGATGATTTGATGAGAAGTTTCTGGAACCAAATTCCTAAATTTAGTTGTCAATACTACTTATTTATTCTTATTTTCTTTATATTCTTAATTTATCTGTTTTTAAGAGGAAGACAGATACATCACAGAAGGGGCATCTTCTGTTTTAGGTAGCACCAATCAAACAGAAGAGTTGCTGACATTCTTGTAATTCATGTTATAGCTTAATAAAACTAGGCCATGGATTTCTGTCTCTTCCTCTTTGCACTTAGGTGCATTCCTGCTTACTTTTAAGTTTACAAATTAACAAAAACTATGTTTTAATGAGTCACTTAAACATTTTCCTCCTGCTGATCCTTCTTTTCTTTCTATTTTTCTCTCCAGCACCGTGTCTCCTCTATTATGGATGCAGGCCTTGTGTTAGTCTTTTCTGAGGGTATTTTAGTGGAGTGTGACAGTGGTCCAAACTTACTCGCCCACAAGAATGGCCTCTTTTCCACTTTGGTGATGACCAACAAGTAGACCGTCATGATCTACTCGCCAAGTATCTCATTCTCTGGTAGTTACCTTAGCAGTGTCCCCCCACAAAGCAAGGCCAATGCTGTGGTTCAGGGGGACAACTAAGGGAGGGAACTAACTACAGAACATTATTACTCAAAGCAGCTCAACCAAGTGCTTCTGTTATGGACAATACTGAAAAGAGGCATGTATATGTTTTCAAATGTACATGTACAAGAGAGTGTTTATGAAACCCAAAAATCAGATTTACCTCTATCCTTAGAATCAATTTCATTATTCCTTGAGGGTATTTTATGGGAATCCTTTAAAAAACCATAAGGCATCATTGTTACTAGTCCTGAAGAATGCATTGGTTAAAATAGTGACTTGAGTTTAGCTGCTGAGTAATGGGAATTACATGTGGAGTGCTTTCAATGCTTCCATTTTTGTGAATGATGCATGGGAGAAAGAGCCCCCTCTGAAGTGCTGCTTTTTCAAGATGGCAGGAAAGGGCTCTCCATCATGGTTCAGGTAAAGAAAGACACACTTCTTTCATGTTCCCAGTGAATTCTTTGGTTTCTCTGCCCTGAGAGAGAGAGTCACTCAATTAATTCATTCACACTAATGTGTAAATGACTTCCGGGGGGTGAGAGAATTGGCTAACTTGAACAACAGTTCTTGAATATTTCAAAGATGTTTTCTTGGGGCTGGAGATGTGGCTCAATGGTATAGTGCTTGCCTAACATGCATGAGGCCCTGGCTTTAGTCCAGCACTGCAAAATTAAATAAATAAAATTAAAAAGTAATTTTCTCACTGTGGCAAGTGGAGAAATCTTTGGGGAGAGAGATATTGTTGCCCTTATATGAGATGGGGGTGGGGAGGTTTACTCAAAAGACTAATTGTCTCTGCTATGCATGAAGCATGGTGTTGTTGAATGAATGATCTCATAGAGTCTTCATCTGGATTATTTGAGAATAATTTGCATCTTTAACCAAAAAATTATATTCTTTTACCTGATTGCTATATTTACTGAACACTTTTCTATGACAAGTACTTTTCATCCATTCTTCAAGACTTCTAGTACAAAGTTGGCCACTGGGACACCTAGTAAAATACATACATAAAGCTTCCAGCAGTGCTGGGAAGAAGCATCACTGGAGGATTCTCCTGAGGACCAATTTCTCATAAAAAGCTCATAAAAGAAAGAGTAGCAGCATATTTGTGGTGGACTCCTTGCAAGAGTGATCCTCAGCTCTATTGCTCTGTTATTTTGGTTAACTGCCATTAAAAATTACAGAGTATCTTTAAAAAGATAACTTTCTCCAGCTTCTAAAAAGAAGCTCTCACACCCCAAAACAGTCCATGGTGTTTATTTATCAAAATGGTTTCTTCTTCACTCTTGATTAGATTAGCTTCTCTGAAGAATTCTGAAAATTTCATCAACTCTGTTACATTGACACTGCACTTAGTCACAAAAGAAAATAATTTGGATTAATGGAATAAACACCAGCAATATTTATTTCTGTTGGCCAAATTTTTGGAATTTTTATTTAGTAAACATCATTTTAGAATATCAGCTCAATGTTTATGAGATTGTACTTATGAATTTAGACATAAATTTGTTGTGTTATTGATTTAAACATCCGTGATATGGTTATTGAAGAACTAATATTTCTCTGGAAAGAAAACGCACAGCAGATATTAAACAATTCATTAAGCTTCTGTTTTTGTTTTGCTTTGTTTTGTTTTTGTTTGGGCACTAGGGATTGAACTCGGGGGTGCTTAATCACTAAGCCACATCCCCAACCCCTTTTCATTTTTTATTTTGAGACAGGGTCTCCCTAAATTATTTAGAGCCTCACTAAATTGCTGAGGCTGGCTGTGAACTTGCGATCTCCCTGCCTCAGCCTCTCAAGCCGCTAGGATTACAAGCATGCACCACCACACCTGGCATGTTCATTTTTTTCTAAATGCATGATATGCAAATGGCTCTGTTATGTTCTCAAAGATAAATAGACACTGTCCTCCAAGTTTTGATAATTCTTAAGTACCACTTGCTACCAATTTTCAGTGAATGGTAGCTTTGTTTATGGGTGATGAAAACAGTAGGGCAGACTCTCAGCTGGCTTCACTGTCACACTGCATGTGTGTGTTCCTTTCCCCTCTAGTCATGAGTCACAACTATGACTACTTTCTCTTCTGAGTGTATCACCACTGAGACTCCTTCATCTTCCTGTCCTAGGGCCTTTGCCTCTGGGGATGGCTTTAGATTGTACTTTTGATTGTTAGGGGAAAGGAAGACTGTGAATCAGCTGAGTAGATGGTCTTTATAGTTTTGGAGTTCTGGACAAAAATACCTATCAACGATCTAATGTTTTGACTTGCACAGCTGCTTTCACATGGTAGCCCCAGCCATGTGTGTCTATAGAGCATTTGATATGTGGGTAGTATGAATTGAGAATTGCTTTAAGTGTAAAATACATACTGGATTCCGAGACTTAGTACTAACAGAAGAGTGCAAAAGATTTCATGAATAATTTTATATTGATTGCATGTCAAATGATGAACTTTGGATATATTGGTTTAAAATATGTTATTATAATTGCTTTCACCTGCTTAATTTTACTTTCAAAATGTAGTCCCTAGAAAACTTTTAAAATTGAAAGTAGCTCATGTTTAATTGAACAGCACTGATCTCAGCAAGAGTAATAGCCTGCCACACAGATTTTTTCCCTTCTAAATTATAAAAAAAATGAATAATAGTAGCTTATATGGATGAAAGTGCTGGGTTTGGTACATGGATTATCTTATTTGATGCTCATCATCACTCTCCAAGACAGGCATTAATATTACGAAAGATAGGCTGCTCAAGATGCACAAATAACTGATGGGAAAGCCAAAATCTGACCCTAATCTAAGGTCCATGCCTGTGCTCTTAACCATACACCAGTTGGACAGGTGAACTTTCCTCAGAGGTCCCAAATCCTCCCTATGAAATGGTTCCTTAGCAAGGTGGATGTATCTCACACTTTGGAGGTCACCTGATTTTATTTTTTTTTTCAAAAATTAAGGTAAATAATATTTTAATGCAATATTTTGAGAAATAAAAACTGACAAAAAAATATGTGGCAAGCAAAATATCACAAATTTGAATAAAGTGGGATCTGGTAGAGCTGAGGTCACCTGATTTTGATGCTGGTTCGACTACTTATTATCTATGTGCTCTCTTGATTTTTCTTGCTCTCCATGAATCCCAGTGTTTTCCCCTTTGAAGTGGGCATAGAAAACACCCATGGCTAAGGAAGGTTGTGGTGACTCACAAGTATGTGTGTGGAGCACTCAATGTATGGCAAATGCTCAATAAGTGGTAGTTTTAATTATTATCAATTACTACACCAAAGCCTCTCTCCCAATAGTACCATGTGGAAAGAGAATGAGTGAGTGGTAGTGATCCCCAACCATCAGGACACTGCATGTCCAGAGACTGGAAACTCATTCTAATTCTGCCTGTCAGAGTGGACTTCCTCCTGGTGTCTTCCCAGGATTGCACTACTTTCCAGGGCTCTTCAAATTGTGTATCAGCTCATGGAATTAGGTGACTCACACAAGAGAGAAATGTATCTGAGAATAAAATATAACCCAACCGGTTCAAGATGACTCATCTTAGCATTTCATTATCTGACAAATGATGGTTAGCTTACTTACACAGAAACTCCACAGAAAAGATGACACAGATACATTAGCTCCACTAAACTTAATACAGCCCAAATAAAATCCAGTTGTACTTACTAAAATTGAAGAATATGTAAATTTATAATGCTTGAATTAATGGGAAAAGTGGGGAAGAGGCCGTGTTTCCTGCATTGTCTGGCATGCCAAAGTAAATGTCCCCAAATTACCTGTGAAATATATATTTTCCATTCCTTTGTCTTGTGACCTGAAAGTCATAACAAATGCATGGATTTTTTTTTCATTCACAGCATCGGGTTCACACCATTCTGACGGCAGATCTGGTTATTGTGATGAAGAGAGGAAATATTTTGGAATATGACACTCCAGAAAGCCTCTTGGCCCGGGAAGATGGAGTATTTGCCTCTTTTGTTCGTGCAGACATGTGAAGGGGTGTCTAAAAATGATTTGTGTGTATTAAGGCAGTCATGACCTACTTGACCTTTGTAGAGTGGCACCTTAAATTTTTACAAACTTCTGTACAAGAAAAGAAGCTGACATTCCTTTTTCCTGTTTTTTTGCCTAACAGTTTTTCAAGGTATCACCACTAAATATGTTCATTACTGTATGTCTTCCTGATGGCAAACCACTTTATCTTTAGGAATAACAGGGTGTATTAAAACATATAAGCTAACAGCCAACAATAAAAAATTAAAAAAAAAAATAATAATTAATTTCAAGCTAAAAAAAAAAAAATAAAACATATAAGCTACTTTAAATGGTAAATCAACAGCTTATGTTTTCTCATAACTTTAAGTCTGGTAAATAACTTTCAAGCATAGATGTTGCAAGGAGTAGTCAATATTATTACACTCTTCCTTGTAACACATTTTCCTTGTTGGAACCTCCAAATGTTATTCTAACAGAATAAAGGAAGGATGTGTTTTCTAATGAAACACTCAAATTCATAATCTACTTTATGAGAATATTTTGTGTTCATTAACATACTGATGCTGTCTTAACAGTCTCTTTTTTCCCCCTCTGAATAGTGTCACCAAGAAGTTATCACATGTATAATAGTTCCATGAGGCCAATGCCTGAAATGGAAAGATCATGAAAAGAAAAATATATTTGAAAAATTATACTCATTTCTACTCTTCTTTGTCCAGTAATGAGAGAATTCTTAAGGGCTCAGGCATAACATGCCTTTCCCAGACTGAAGTTCAAAGAGTGATTAGGGTCAATCCTTTAATGGGAGGTCAAATATGCTTTTTAGGGAGTAATTCCTCATTAGTTGTGGTTATGACCTGAACCCTAAAATTCTTTTTGATTCAAAGGAATACAGGCACATGGCCTTACTTGTTTTACACCTGTGCCATACCTTAACCATATGCTAATCATGGCCAGTGAACATTCCTTTAAGATACCAGTATTCCCTGTGAAACAGTTTGATATCAGGGTGGAAATGTCTCACACTTTGAAGTTTTACATATATTACAAGTTATCTATTTCTAGTTGGAAGATTTACCTCTGGACATTTGTGCCACACATGTATCCATTGCTCATGCTCTAATTTTAATGTGTGTGTAAAGAATACATTAAAAATTCATAAGCTATGGTTGGTTTTGCTTAAATTGAAATTATAAAATTTAAATTACTGAAAGTTGCCATCACTGTTATATTCACAACATAGTTTATATGGAATTCTGTACCCATTCCATATAACTATTATTGATTTGCGTAGGATCCACATACAATGTAAGATCTTGAAAACTTCTAATTGACAGGCAAAGAAATTGTGCTCTCTCTCCATAGTCCTTGTGTTCAGTTTATTGCATTGTCTATTAACTCTTTAAAAAATTTTGTATCAGAATATGTCATGATACTTTTACCCAAATATAGAAACCTAATGTTTTAAAATATATCTTCTACAAGATGGATAAAAATGGTCCATGAGAAGCTTAAATTGCTTCTCATTGTTGTATACATAAAACTAAATTGGAAAAAAAATATTATTGTTTTCCAAAGCTACACAAAACAGAATTGGTACCCCTAAATAAATTCTTGAAAATATTTTCTAACATTTTAACCAATCTCCTAAAATATTGCTGGCATGACAATGTTTTGTGGAGATTAATATTCATTATGCTTATTACGAAGTTATACCTCATTGTCACAGAGGAGTATATTTTCACTATAGAAATAATCCCTTTTGATACTTGTGGATTATACTCTTAAATGCTGCCAGGTCAGTGGCAGAAAAATCTCATTACACTAAACTGAGAATCATAGTTCCATTTGTACACCAAAGTGGTTTTTGGTCCCCTCCCTCATCACTTTTACTTAAATTTAGTAAATGTTTAATTGTTGACAAAACTAAATTGACTGAAAAAAGTAAAGAATGATGCTTTCAATCAATCATTTATGATATCATGTATTATCTACTGACTATAGAAATGACTCATCTTGAAATAATTTTTGCTACATGAATACATATTTGTAAAACATGACCTGCTTGACCCTATTAATTTTTTTACACTTATGGCTTTTACATTTGACTAACCAAATCAATTTTAGGAATGTTAATTCCTTAATGTTTGTAAAAAGCAATAAATTCACAAAGCCTTATATTTACATAACAACAGGGTAACTGTTGTCATTGAAAAGAAATTTCTCTTAAAGGATTGTGCACCGCCCACTTTTATAATATTATTCATGACCCATTCAGCTCTAGATTAGATACTAGATAACCCAAAAAATGGGCACATGAATTCTGGGACCATGTCTTGTTTGTCTTTGTGCCCTGACACTAAATACTAATGCCTAGCCCGCCCTAATAAATACAGTTGATTACTCCATTGATTAATTTTACTGCTAGCCATATGCTAATAACTATGGGTTATTCTCTTTGATTTTCTGTGCTGTTTATTCTACTATTTATTCTCTACAATATATGAAATATGTTTATTCTCTACAATAAAGGTGTTTATTCTCTATAAAATATGAAAACATTGGCTTGCATTACATAATAAATTACTCCTGTGGTTTGCTCAATTTTAACAGGGTGGTTTCTCCTGTACTTGTAATTCCACTGGATATCAACCAAGGCTAAACAATGAATGTAAATCAACCCATTTACAAGATGGTTGGTACCTGGCTCTAGTTAAATGACTTTTGCTCTACATTTTCAAGAGTCACACATTCTATTACATTTAAAAATAGGCTTTAGGGATGTTTCCATTAGTGGAACAGAAACCTTAATAATTTTTTTACATCTCTAAATGGCTCAATGTCTAAACTTTTCCCCAAGGTTTATTGACCAATTTTAATGGTTGTCTTCCAGTATATCTTTTATCACTTATTTTGTAACATATTCTTTGGAGGTCTGTGATTGATAGTACTGTGATAATTCCCTTATCGACCCATAGTCAAAGTTAATTGCAATTTTCTAATCTTAGCCTTTTAGCCTAGAAAACGATAGCCAGGGGCTGTATCCTGGTACTTTTTAAATTTTTTCTTTACTTAACTATATATCAACTTGATGTTTATGTCATTTCCTCAAGCATTAATAGGATTCACCTGGGTCAAACTCAACAATAAAAGATTTTCTGTCAACAAGGTGCTTATGGCACATGCCTGTAATCCCAGCTGCTCCAGAGGCTGAGGCAGAAGGATCACAAGTTGAAAGCCACCCTCAGCAACTTAGCAAGACGCTGTCTCAAAAAAAAAAAAAAAAAAGATTTTATATATATATATATATATATATATATATATATATATATATGTATATATATACCTAGACACATACATACACACATGGGGATGTGGCTTAGTGGCTAGGCAGCCCTGGGTTCAATCCCTGGTACAAAAAAAAAAGAATGCTTTTGCCAAATTTCAAGGGACTATTATAAATGATATTTATAATTAATCAAGTTTGCAAATTTCTCTGTTATGCATACATGGAACCTTAAAATACTAAAGGTGATTTCCACATGCTTCCTATCTTTGCTGACATTACTTAATCCCAAATTGCTAAAACAAGTTTTTCAGTGTCATAGAATGAATTGCCTTAGCTCAAGATAAAGGAAAGTTTGTTTAGCGAACTGAATCTTGTTTGAAAATATATCAATAGAGACTCGAAACACTGTTTTCTTTGGGCTGGTCATTTAATCAGCAGTGAGTCATCTAAGGATGCGCATTTTCCATCAAGATGCAGAGGGTTTCGTCTTTTCACTTCTGAATTAGGTGTTGAATCATTTTCATATTCTGCTGAGTTTGAGTTTGTATTCCAAACACTATTACGATGCAAATGTGACCAATTTGGGGAGGATCACACTATGGCTATTCACAATCTGGAATGAGGTAAGTTGTCAGCCATCATTATTCTCCTTTCTACTTCCACATTTGTTCTGCAGGTGTTATCACTGATTATGAAAGTTGGTATATTTATTCTCCATGTTGATTACCTAAGAGTTAAATTCCTTCTTTTTCTATGAGTTGTTGAAAATTGCCATTAGCCATTTACTCTGTGGTCTTCAATGCCCCATTTCTATGATGACAAAGATCAAAGGAGCTGTCTCTGTATTGGAATCTAGAAAAATCAGAATTGTCAGGGCTCCAAGAGTGAGATCTGGGTCAAATCTAGGGATCTGTCTAGAGATGACCCACTCCATCAATTTCATCTCTCTCATTTCTCTTTCTTTCTGCCCTTTTCCTATGTCTGCCTGCTTCTTTTCCATCTTGTACACATCCTGTATGAATGACCCCCCATCTCTGAGACTAAGTCATGTAGATCCTAGGACCACAGCTATCTCCATTTCTCACATTATCTGTTTCAAAGTATCAAGCAAGTAATCTCTTTTTTTTCGGGACTAGACAACTCTGCATTAGATCACCTAGGAGCAAGCAAGGACCTGGAACATAAAAGAACTGTGGCCAGGTAGTATAAGAAGGTTCAAAGTAATACTTTGTGCTAGAAATTCCAAATCATAGCCAATGGTTTCAGAAAAAGGATGATGAGATTGTGCTGGCTACTGACTATTCTTCCTTTGTGGGGAGGAATAGGAGAGAAAACCATTCCTCTGTCACATGAGCACTAAAAGAAGCTGCTTAACTAAAACTCGTGACCATTCTTGAGTTCCCCCACCCTACCTTTACTCCAGAGGGAGGAAAAATCCACAGAAGGATGGAATTTTCTTTTAAAACAAGAAAATAAAACAAAATCTCCTGCCATAAGCAATTACCTCCAAATACTGACTTTTAAAACCCGAGTTTTATTTCCCTATGGAAATGACTGCATAATATACAACCTCAGATGCATTTTCTCATACCACTCATTCAAAACAAGCAGTAACACCCACTGGAATTGCACTAACCCACCCATTTTAGGATCCTTGACACACATGACTTTGTATGTATACTCTACTTCTCCTGAGTGATCTTCAATCTCAGATCCTTAAAAATGTGAAACATTTGTTTTGGGCACTATGTCTCCTACGTCCTTGGCAAATTGAGAAGGGAAGATGGTGAAAGGCAATGATTAGGGGTGATAAGTTTTCCTCTGAAAGTAGGAGCTTCTCTTCTTTGTTCCCACTTGACTGAGCTTCTAGCATATATTCCATGCAATAAAATATATTGAAAACACAAGGCTTCTAGGCCTTTGGCCAAAAATGTAGGGGAAAAAATTAGCCAGCCTAATATTCCATTAGGGAAATTCTTGGCTTAAATAATATTTTAATAAAGCTTAGCTTTAGTGTGCCAATAAAGCATAGAGATGACATAATGATTTATGATTTAAATATCATATAATCTCTGTAATGTCTAGTACCATCTTGTATCAAACAACATGATAGAAGTACAATAACTATGGAAAAGAGAAGCTCTGTAAAAAAAAGTTTAATATTAATGGAATACATAATACATAAGCTATCTCATTAAAATTTGCTATAGAGATAATAGTAGTTAACATGTATTTAGCACTTATGATATGTACACTACAAGTACAATCTAACTTAATCTTGTAAAAAATTCTATGCAATGCTAAGTAAAATAAGCCAGTCTCAAAAAACCAAAGGCCAGTGTTCTCTCTGATATACAGATGCTAACACACAGTGTTTAGAATAGAAATACTTTGGACTGGACAAAAGGAAATGAAGGGAAGGGAAGGGAGATGAGAACAGGAAAGACAATAGAATGAATTGGACATATCTTTCCTATGTTCATTTATGAATACACAACCAGTGTAACTCTACATCATATACGACCACAAGAATGGGAAGTTACACTCCATGTAAGTAGAATATGTACATTCTACTGTCATGTATAACTAAAAAGAACAAATACAAATTTTTTAAAAATTTTATGAGATAAATACTGTTATTTACATTTTATAATTGGGGTTCAGAGGGGCAAATTTGCTCAAGGTTTTGTAAAACTGAGACACAAATTCAGGCAATTTGATTTCAAGCCCCACATTCTACGCCCTGTCAATAAACTAAAGATTAAATTAGTGAGTTGATTCACTTCTCTTGCGAATAAATGATCTTTCTGGTTATGATATATAATAAAAAATAATAATTATATGAGTCTATATGGAATACTACTGAAAAGAAAACTGGACCAGGAATTAGAAGACTTGAGTTTTAGTCCTGGTTCTACCACATATTATAGATAAAGTCATAGATTTATCAGTTAACGTCAGAGTCCCAGTTTCCTTATTTGTAAAAAGGAGAACTAACCACAACCCCCCCATCTCATTGAATTTTTATCAATTTCAAATAATGGCAAAGGACTGTTTAATTGGAAATCATATCCAATTCTCCCAACATGTACCATATTTTAGTGGATACTATGTGATTATGTTCTTTTAATTGGAAAATAATTTTTTCTTTAAAAGCAAATTGGTAATCCAATTTTTCCATGGTAAGATTCTATATTAAAAATGAGAAATTCTGTTAAAATGGCTCCAGAACATTGATATCCCTGTTGTTCTGGAGAGGACTAATGCAAAATCAATGTGTTGGGTGTTTTACTCAGCTTTTTCACCGCTGGGACCAAAAGACTTAACAAGAACAGTATTAGTGGAGGAAAGTTTATTTGAGGCTCACAATTTCAGAAGCCTCAGTCCATAGACTACAGATTCCATTGCTCTGGGCCCGAGGTGAGGCAGAACATCATGGCAGAAGGGTGTGGCAGGGAAAAGCAGCTCAGGACAAGGCTATGAGGAAGCAGCAAGAGCTTTGCTCATTAGGGACAAAATATATACCCCAAAGGCACACCCCTGGTGACCTGCCTGCTTACAGTTACCATCCTGTTAATCCATTCAAGTGAATGAATGTATTGATTATATTAAGGCTCTCAAAACCCAATCATTTCACCTCTAAACTTTCTTGTATTGTCTCACACAATGAGACAATGGGGGATTCTTCATATCTAAACCATAACGTTGGAGTACAACCTAGATTCCTTAGAGAGGAAAAAACAATAAAATTAACTATTATTCAAAATTAAAACCACATAAGAAAAATGAACCACTATGGTTTGAAGAAAGATGTGGGAGGACCAGGGCTAAAACAAACCAAATAGGAATGTTATCATGAGAAATAGAAATAATAATAACCTACAAGAGATTTTAAAGTATGTGTTTGTCAATAAGCATGTGTAAATGTGCTCAACATCATTCTTCACCACAATGCAAATAAAAACAACTATCTACCCACCAAAATAGCTAAAAACAACCAAGGTTAACAATACTAAGGGTGATGAGAGTGGAACTCTAATCTACTGTGGAAGGGAGTTTGAGTGGCACAGCCAGCATGGAAAACTGGCAGTTTCTACCATGGCTAACTGTGTGCCTGTACCGGGACTCAACAATTCCATTTCTGGGCATGTATCCAAGAACTGAATTCATGAATCTGAGAAATGAATGGCTATGACCACAAAAGGGCTTGTACAGAAATGTCCATAGCAGCTTTATTCATAAGAGTCAAAGAAACAAAACAGCCTGCATACTCATCAGAAGGAGGACAGATAAATAAATGATGTAAAACTAACAC